TTGACGAATTAGTAAACTTTGTCTTGTTTAATTACATGGATGGATTCTGAATTTTTAGTTCATGACTTGTTTAAATTTTGTGTTTATTAACTATATGGATACTGCGGACTTATTTGATGTACTGCTTATAATGTTGCATCATTTACGGATCATATGCATGGTATGTACCGGTATGGGACGGTGACATACGGAGGGACGGATTAGATCAAAACACTAATTCCAACCCATTCATACATACAGAATGGATTAACTAAAACCGTTAAATCCTATATGGTTTCATGTCCTGTCAACTAAAACAGTTGAACGACATACTGGATGGTTGTTTATATTTCTGCGTTAGGATGGATAGGGTTTTAACTAAAATGTTTAAATCCTGATTATATGTTGTGTCTTGACCAATGAACTATTGACCGGCACAACATTGTATTTGGAAGGAACTTATATATATAATTGGAGTAGGGATTTAATTAAAACATTTAAATCTTAAGTTTATGTCGTGTCATGGCAACGAATCAGTTGAGCGGCACTACATTGGTTTGGATGGGAATTTATATATATAAATTATGGTACCGCGATTTGAACTTAAGTCTCATAGTCGACGGTTAGGGTGCGTATATGTAGTAGGATGCGTAGCTAGCTATATTGGTTGAGGTATATCCTGTTAGGCTTAGGTAGTCATGCCCACTCAGGTGCGTATTGCATGTTACCTTCTATTCAGGTTGAGACCCTCAGCATAGTTAGTGAGAGTCCGGTAGTGTGGATAGATATTTATCTATTACGGACTATATAGATATGTTTGAGACGTCTAGAATGTATCTGCGTATCGGGTCTATGTTTGGATTGTAGTTAGGATAGAACTTGTTCATGGGCCTGACCCACTATTATTTTTCAGGTAACGGACGGTTCCAGGTCTTAGAGCTTGTTCGTGCTGAGTAGAGACGACTACTCATTGTACCGACGATGTAGGGGGGGTTCTTCATGGTTTAGCAGTGGACTTCTTTTTAGTTGTTCGCTTTCCAGTATTGGCTTTTGATTAGGGGTCCACCAGATGGATTCCCGAGTTGTATTATAATTGGAGAAGTTGGATGTAACAGACTAGTTCTTATTTATAATATTTATTCTGAAATTTTTAATAAAGGATTTTCATTTAGTTTCTTTCTAGCGAATTTTATTTACTCATGTTTATCTTAATTATATTCTGTGTTCGATTATTGCTAATTTGTTTGATATCCTCTGGTAGTCGGGCGTGGGCCTGGCCAACCCGCATCCGGAAGTCCGGGGGTATCACAGATCAAACCCCAACTAAAGCATAAACTTACACAGAAACGACCAGCTCACTTTATCATAAGCCTTGGCCATGTTCAGTTTCAGGGCCATAAAATAGGAGTCACCATGTTTTTTAGACTTTAGGACATACATTAGGTTATGGGCAATAACAATGTTATCATGAATCAGAAGGTGGGGCATGAAGGCACTCTGAGCATCACTGATGAGAAAAGAAAGAAGAGGTTTAAGTCTATTTGCCAGAGCTTTTGAGAAAATCTTATAAGACACGTTACATAACGCAATTGGTCAGAAGTTTTTCATGGAAATGGGATGGGGAACTTTGGGGATAAGAACGAGGATAGATGAGTTGAGATCTGTAGGTAAAAGATTACCTTGGAGGAAAAAAATGAAAGTTTTAACAAGATCCACCTTAAGAACCTCCCAGTTATATTGGGAAAAAAATGGGGTGAAGCCGTCTGGCCTGGGAACTTATAAGGACCCATGTGATGTGTGTTATTTTACCACTCACAATAATACGAATCCTTTGCAGGATAGGGCTACTAAGAGGGTGTCGAACCTCAGGAACTATGGTGGTTTTATTAAGTATAAAATTAATTTCTACTTTAATTTAGAGAAAAGTTTGGTTTGTTTTGTTGCAATTTACTAACATGACTAGAAAATAAACAAAATAAATAGATTGAGATTAGAGAAAGAAAATCTTAGGGCTTGATTTCACCGCAAACCTCATACTATGGCCAATTGTCTTAACCATGGGATTTTAATGTTTATGTATAACTTAGAATTAAAAATCATTAACATTCAACTTAATTTAGTTTTTAAGAAAGACAAATCATGAATGTTTGTTAATAATAACCTACCTTCGGTTAGTACGAATTATCTGCGTTCATACTTCTAACTAATTTTGCAGAATAATCTGTCTTCCCTAAGCATAAATTATGAAAACATCCATTCACAAACACGTTTACACACCGTTGCATGATCTCTATTCTTATTTTTATGAGAAGCCCTTAGCCCCAATCTCAAATAATAAGATTATGTTGATTTTGATTAGAGAATAATTAAATCTAAAACAATGTATTAATTTATCAAAAATCAGTTTTATTCAATTAAAATCTCAATTTCTTAGAAGATTTAAGTCAATTGCTCAATAATCATGCAATCAAGTATACATTAATAATGAAAATCCCAAAGTTTAGGTCAATCAAACCATGGTAATCGAATTCAGGTTACATCTGTTAGGGAAACGGGAGTTTTAAAAACTTTTAGAGGGATTTTTAAATAAAGGGTCTTAATTTATATGTAAAGACAAGTTTTATGCACAAAGAAGGTGATGATCCATTCAATTAGAGTTAGTAAACTTACATCAAGGTTTGAGTAAACCTTAAATCTCTCATCTAAAGTGAATGTTCTCACTTTTCGTAGATCAATTTGCTATATGTCTCTTTCTTGGATCTTCATTTTGTTGGTAATAATCTTGCCTTTAGGAATCACTCATAAACCTCCATGAATGACCTTGAAGAGCTAAGCTTGTGGGAGCCTCCATTAGATAAGAATATTGACTCTAAAATCTTAGAAAGAGAATATTTTTCTTGTCTTCCAAAATTAATGTACAAAGACGTAACCTAAAATATACATGGATCCCGTGTATATATAGGCAAAGTAAAAATAAAAATTAAAAAAATATATTTTTTTCAGTCTCTAAAATTTATGTGATATCTCAAATCTAATGGGCTTTAATATCAAATTGGGCTATGGGTGAGAATTCATTGGGTTTACTATTTTCTTGACTACAATGAATTAATAATTGGCCAATCCATTATTCTATGGATCCAATTTAATTAATTCATAAATCAATTTATACTCCACTAAAAGAAATTAATTGAACTCCAATTAAATAATAAATAACCTCTATTCATAATTAGTTATCGAATAAATAAAGTCATCAATCCGACTGCTAAATTAATATATTTATTTTGGTACCTTTGATTATTTCTGACTTGATCACAATAAAATTTTGTTTTGACAAAAATAATAATTTAGTAAATAATTAAATATATAGAAAATCATTTTGTCTACAATACACGAATGCCTTCGAATTTACTTTGTGATCAACCATAATCAATACAAAATAAATACAAGTAACAATGATGCAAATGTTGAGAATATTTGCCGGTCTTTGGATTCCGAAGAATCCGCCGAACAAATTAATATTTATCAGTTCTATAATGAATCGAAATATAATACATTGAATTCACCAATTGTATAAAGCATAAATATTTTACATTTGTTAGGAACATATGTCATCAACATTAATACCCTAAGAATGGATTTAGCTACTCATGACGATGGAAGATATCATATTGGTTGGTGTAGAACTCATCATCATGGACCGCATTTCTCTTCTGAGGATCTTCTTCTTCAATTCTTCAGAGAAAACTTCAAAACCCTAAAAGCCGCCACCGAATCTAAGAAGTTTTCAGCCAGCTTTCTTATGACCTTTTACCTTTTTTTATAAAAGAAATTTGACTTATATTCCCTTTTGGATGGGTTATAGGATTTCTGGAGTCATCTGGGGTCAAATAGGTTAAAAATTGAATAATCTCATAATTATTTTTAAGTATTAGCACAAGGGTGATCGATCATCCTGGCTAGAACGTACTATTGGTGGAGGAAAAAAAAAAGGTACCATTGTATTTGAAGGAATCTAATTGTTGTTTATTTCATTTAGATTTCCCACATAAATCAATTATATACAAATTCTATAGATATTACCAGAGAGGACACGGATGCAAAGTTTACTAACTATATATAATAATAATAATAATAATAATAATAATAATACTCGTGTGTGTGTGTAGAGAGAAAGAGGAACTATATACATAAAACCGTTATTTTTTTATTTTTTTCATTTTTTATTTTTTGGGGCAATAAGAGAATAGTTATACGACATCTACACAACACATCCATAAAGGATAATATAGATGCAATAAAGGCAAGCTATAAAAAGGCAAACAAAACTTGAAGCAAAAAGAAGAAAAATGAAGACCAAGCTCCGGATTGAACAACGAAAACAACACATGAGACGAGCAGCAACGAGAGTGACACAAACGTCAGGCCATCAGTAAGGCAACTGCACCAAAGCTCCATCCACAATGGGCCTCCGACTGGTGGGAAAACTACCCAAACCACACATAAGTCGGGGAACACAAAAACCGACATATATCTGAGATCTAGTCGTGGACAACAAAAAACCGACATAGATCTGAGATCTAGTCGGAGAAATAAACACAGATCCACCTAGTTTGCCCAGAAACAAGCCAAAACAAAGCAGATCTAGCAAAACAAAAGCAAAAAAGGCGTGAAAACCACCCACAGAGCGTACTTACTATTACACATCAATTTTATTTAGCCTGTAAAAGGCAGAAAACATCACCTCTCCACTCATATGAAAGGGAACAAGGAGAAAAGAGAGAAGACGAAGTGAGAGGCGACGGCTGAAAGAAGGGTCGGGGGAGGGTTCTAGGGAGAGAGAAGTTTTCATACGGTGGTGGTCATAATACTGGTTTTCAAACTCAACGAAAGGGGGGGAGGGGGAACCCACAAGTTAATACCAAAAATACGCGCTGCGCTGCGGGCGCCGGGGAGGGGGGGGGGTGCTGTTGAGGTGAATGCCACTTTTGTTGTGACGACTTGAGAACCGAGCAGAAATTTTCAAATGACCAAAACAACGATTTTTTTTAATATAATCAATCACCTTGTCAAAAAATGGGATTTATTTTTGTATAAAGTGTAGTTTAGCTTAAATCAAGACCTTCAATATTTAAGACCTTCAATTAATTTAAGATAGAGTGCAATAGAAATTCCAGAACTTCTACTTTTAGAATAAACTTTCTAAACTATTTTCCTTTTTTACCAAAAAAAAAAAAAAGAAAAAAAAGAAAAAAAGAAGAAGAAGAAGAAGAAGAAGACACTATTTCAGCAGTAATCATCACCTCCATGATATAATTTCAAAATAACAGAGTTATCCTATTACTATTAAGAAAATAAATAAATACACACCCGATGAGTTGGCGATACAAAATATTATTATTAGTATAGAGGGAGATGATTAGTAGCCATTAACAACAAAATTGCCTGCAAAAATATATAGATAACATATGTGGTAGAGCAAGGGAGTACATTTTATTAAAAAAAAAAATGCTACAAACAATGTAAATGGAACAAATTAATGAAGCTACACAACAAACAAAAGAAGTTAATTTCTCATACGCATTCTCAACTCTAAAACAACAGCGACTAAGAACAAGCCAGCTAGAACAATCCCATAACCAGCATTCCATCCACTTCCGGCACTACCCAAATGAATTCCATAAAATATATTTATAGCTGCAAAAAATATCAACACCCTCCCAACACTGTAATGGTACCAATTCCAGTATTTCCTGTATTTTGACCCCTTGTCCGGCCGAGCCAAAAATGCCAAAACCTATCAAACATAAAAGGTTATATATATCAATTAATTAAGACAACGATACTTATTATGATAATATATATGATCATATCCGTGAGTCCGTATAATCCTTTATTTCTGGTTCAAGTTGCCTGTTTGATAAATTTTGATAATCATAATTATAATGAGATCGAAATTATAAATTTCACGACACCCGACAGTCAGTTATGATCAGAGATAGAGTCAGAATTTAAATTTAGGGGCATAGTGTAAAAAAAAAAAAAAAAAAAAAAAATTAATAATCACGACAATAAATATAGATTCTATAAATCAAGAGACAAAAAAAAAATTATTCAAAATAATATGTGAGTAATTTAAGAAAGATAAATAGTTAAAAAAATAATAATAATAATAAATAAAAAAGAAAAATGAGAGAATTTTGGAAGGAAAAAAAAATTGGAGTTGCAGATGCCTTGATAGCCCAGTGGTTAGTGCCTCCGGTGGATTTTGGGAGTGCCAGTCATCGACTCTTTGCACGTACTAATTTAACTTCAAACCTTTCTTGCCTTGTAATAAAAAAAATAAAAAAATTGGAGTTTGATTTTAAAAGAAAAATTTGACTTTTTTATTGGACTGGACCATCAAGTGTCAGTAATATGAGACCATCTAATAATTTTCCGTGAACTAATCAAGGTGCACTTATGTTCTTATAGCATATTATTTCTCTGATGAAAAAATGATTAAAAGAGACTTTTGAAGAATATGAGAATGGACAAACCTGGAGGCACCCAAGTGTGAGAATGAAGACACCAAGGCCTTTGTGCTTTTTAACATTGGCAGCAAGCTTATCTTCTAAAACAAAACCACAAATGACACCTGCTACTCCAAATATAAAACCAAATAATTGAATGCAAATGTGAGAATAAAACCAGATTGGATCCATTTGCTTCAGGTATCGAGCAACCATCACACCAATGGGCATTAAAACACCCCATCCCAACATGTTCAACACTCCATGGCTTCTCCTCAGACTTTTATATGGGCTTACTGTTTTAGTCTGACCTGTTTACAAAAAAAAATATATATATATCAATGTTCTGCGAGAGAGAATTTTTTTATTTTTTAATTTTTTCCCGTTAATTGGGATATCTAAGACTTTGCGCCACAATACCCCCTTTCACACGAGTCAAGTAAAATCATTCAGACTTTCACTCACATAAAATTGTGCAAGAAATATTTGTTACAGAGAACTATAATATTGAGGCATTTCAATCATACTTTATCATTAGTGGAAATATAATATAGGCATAAAGAAGAATCAATTTCTTATATTGTCACACGTCTGGCCCAATTGAGATGATAAGCAAATTTTCTTTTTTTACAAAGTATGTCATAGATGTCACTTTAAAATAATTATTATAATAGGCATTATGAGCACTATCGAGTACCAAACTCGCCACCAAGAGTTCAGTAATGCCCAAATAGAAAGACATATATATATATATATATATATGAGAATGACAATACAACAAATGAAGATTCTAATATTTAATTATCAATCTATATTAATTATCTAATCAAACTCCTGTTACAAGAAGTCATCTCAAAACCTAATCACGGAGAACACAATTGAAAGATGGATTAAAATGTTAAATAAAATAAAAATAATTATCAGATTATAATAATTTTATTATTAATTTCAGAATTTGAATAGATAATAGTATTTTTTTTCTTTTATTATTTGAAAATAAATGAGTAACCTTTTCAATTTTCATAAAAATATATCTCCACCAAACACTTAATATCGAAGTCTAATATTTCAATTTTCATGGTAGTGCACTGTGAATTAGTCAGCAAATATCATGGGCTGCAATTCAAAAATATCTCATGAACTTTTTACTTTGATGAGAATTCGAGTTCTTTTAAGAAAAATGATTGTATGAAATTTATCAATTAGGAAAAAAATATATATATGTTTCTTATATATAAAAAATAAAATAAAAAAAAAAAAAAATTAGCCGGCAAACAACAAATTAATCAACTATGTCAAACACACACCCACACAAAACCATCTAGACCCTACCATCATGGGTCAATCTAGTGATGGAGCGCATCATGTATGATTACTTGCCTCAACTGCTAAAATTGCTAAAATCACAATCAATGATGCATTGTATTGTACAACAAGTTTTGGTTGGTATCTTAATTTGTACATTTGAGAGTATCGCACTTACCGGTCACAAAATTGAAACTGGTGGAGACCACGTCACTGTGTTGAAACAAGACGTAGTCGGGGCCGGCACCGGGATACCGACCGGCCTGTCCGACGGCATATATGAGCCTAGACTGCGGCTGGTTCGTATTCAACTGAAACGCCATATGGATATGAGACGAATCGGGTACGATTTTCGATGTATTGGTTAAAGGTAGGCTTCCTTGATCAACCACCACTTTTTCTGGTGATTGTCCCCCTAGATAATACCTTTTCATAATCGGCGTACCACCGGGCATTACCCACCCCACGATGGAGCTCGACCCGACCATCTTCCCATCCGACGAAAACCCAATTGCTATGTAAGAATCTGGGTTGGGTGCTGAGAGAACAAAGCTCCATACATTTGATGCTACATCTTGTGAATACTGGGAAAAAAAAAATGTTACCACTAAACTACACTAGTAACAAACATATATACATGCACACATATATATATGTATATGAAAGGATGACTTACTCTGAGGATGAAACCTTGAGCAGCCCACACTGGGTTGCAATGGAAAGTGGTTGTGTCAAACGGAAGTTGACCATTGAGGTTGAGACTAGAACTGCATGAATCTGTTTGTGAATTCACAGGTATTAATAAACCGAGGACGAGAAAGAAGAAGGAAATGAATACGAAGGATGTCTTCATCTCTTTCTCTCTCTAGATCTCTTTGCTGTGGTCTAATAAGGGTAAATTAAGTGGTGGATGATCATATATGTCTCCCCATTGTAGTAGGTTATTCGAAGCAGTTGACCTAGCAAGTTTATTTTTCTAGTGTACGTTATATTGTAAGCCAAACATGGTTTATAAATAAAATATAGATTGGCATACTAATTAAAGATGAAAGAAATTAATATTATTAAGTATAAGGTGGAACCATACGTATGACACTAACAATTATATATAGGTCATCGATGCAGCTGGCATGTGTCATGATGAGATCCATCCATTTGAATGTGTCCAAATAATAGGGTCATGTGTGTCTCATTATTTTATCTACTACATCAATATTGGCCCGAATCTTTATTTTTTTTCCTTTTATGGGGTCTTGTTCTCACCGTCTAGCGCCTCCATTATAACTTTTTGTTCCAGGCGTGCCGTCCAGTGCATCAAAACAGTACTTTTTGGGTACTGCATCGGACTAACAAGACTGAATTCAAAAAAATTTGAGTCATTTCATTCTTTTGATGATCGATTCATTGATTAATCACATCTTACAAAGTCAAAACGAAAAAAAGTTAAAATTAATGTGAAACAATGCCCTAACCTTCAAGATTAATGCAAACCCAACAGAGGCAAGTTCAATTTCTCTGACAATCCAGTCGGCTGGCACAATGGGACCTTATTGGGGTTATTGTTTTGTTCTTGGACCTGTCCTAGGGTCATTTTATCCTTTGTTTTAAATCATTCATATTTGTTTGGGCAGTGACGGACTAGAAATTTTTGTGAGGGGTTGGCCTTTTTAATTTGTAATTTCAATAAAGTTTTTTTCATAAATTTCTTTAAATTTTAAAGTATAAAATGCAAAAATAAAAAAATCTGTGAGGGCAAATTGTAATTTTAATGGAAGAATCTTTATAAATTCTAAAAAATTTAAGATATAAAATGAAAATATAAAAAATCATATGCCCTCATTGATCATATGTTGGGTCCATGCCTGCTTATATGGTCTTATTGACTCATTTTGTGTTTTTCTTGTTGTCTTAGAGGTAATGTACACCACTAGTGATCTCTTCTTGGTTTATTACTTCCCCATCTCAAACTCGATATCGAGTGGAATTGAATTCTTTGGTTAATACACCGAATCTTGAATTTTAAGCATTACAAAGTCTGAACTAAATTAGTACACTAGGTTTTGGGGTAGTTGTGTATGTGTGAGAAGAAATAGTCTCACTTTCGGATGAAGCTTTAACAAAAAATACGCACATACAAATATAGTATTAAAAGGATTTTCAATGGACCAGTTCAAAGTTGCTAATATGGAGAGTTATTGCAATTAAGTTTTGTAATTAAACTCTATCCAAATTAAGCAATTGAAATTCTTCCAACAAAATTTGAATAAATTAATATTATATAATCATGACACTGAAGATCTCTTAAGAGCAGCAAATACAATTGTAACATTTCATATGATCCGTTGATTCGTTCGGCTGGTGGTCCTTACTAAGTGAGGTGAGGTCATAATTAAATTCTTAAGAACATCGGAAGGACTTGCCATGTGTGTATCATTGAAAGTTCAAGTAGCATATATATATATATATATATATTGAGATTTATGTGAAATGTCATCTTTAATGTTACGATTGTATATTAATGATGGTGTCCAACTTCATTACTCTAAGAAGAAGAAGAAAAAAAAGTACCAAAATGGCAGATGAAGAAGGAGGGGTCCCTAACCTAGCTAGCTGGATCAGATCATAGATTCATAATTCCATATGCTCTTTACATAAATCTCTAACCTAGTTTATCAATTGTATTTTACGCACCTATTATCTAGATACGGGTCATTTTTTTGGAACATTTCTTTCTTGCTCTCTCTCTCTAAAACTAATCATTTCTTTAGAACACCTCTTTTCTGCTTTCTCTAAAACTGATCTGAAGGTTAACATTAAAATACGTCATTTATTACATCTCCCTCTCGGATCTATATATACAGCGACATATATACAGTATATATTTTAAGCAAACACACGTCTATAATCTTATTTATGGCATTACTTGAATTGTCAACTCTTTTACTAAACAAAGAGATCATATCATTTGTCAATTCAAACCATGCCATAGATTATACTATAGGTGTGTGTTTACTTAAAATATATACTATATATTAATGTTCATAGGCACACTCCTATACTTTTATTCAGAAAAAAATTAATTGTTGAAGTTATGTTTAAATGTTGGTTTCATACATACTTTGCGTTATATAACAGTGTCATGTGCAATATTATTATTCTTTACGAAACAAAGTCAATTAGCATTTAGAAAATAAGTGTGATAGGGTGGGGAAAAAACACTTCATATTTGTCATCACAATTCAAAGGACAAATTTTCAAAACTATCTTTAAACTAGAATTACAGCAGAGAAAAGAAAAATAATAATAATAATAATAATAAGGGTGAACTACATTAAACCCTCTTTTTCTATCTGTGTTTTTCATTAAATTCCCTTTTTCTATTTTTTTGCCAACCCCCCCTCTCCCCAAACTATTCAAGGGGGTGATTTAACTAACGGGAGTTAGTGGAAAGAGAAATGAAATATAAATTGACTTAAATACCTATTAAAGCCTATTTGAAAAATCGACTTTACTTTTTGTTTTTTTTATTTATTAAATAACCTAAACAACATCATTCACAGAAATTAACACTTCTATTGTGTTTTTTTGTTTTAACATTTTACTAAACTGACAAGTTCACATTAGTCACAAGAAATGATTTTTTTTTTTTAATAGAAAAAAATGATATTGAAATATTAAAAAAAAAAGAAGAAGAAAACATGTAGGCATAAATATTAATATAAAAATGGAAAAAAATTAAACATTATTTCTCGTAGTGTCCCTTTAATAAATCTATATAAAATGAAAATCAATAAAAACCAAATAAATGAATGCACAATATAATTCCCAAATATATATATATAGCAGATAAATTTCAAGAGAAAAACCAAAATTTATATTGATTTGAAGGCTGGATGGAAATGAAAATATAGTATAAATAATATTTAATTGTACATATTATATATACCATTATATTATGATACAAATTATATATAATATTATAATGATGGAAGAGTACGTGTTGTTGTAATGGTGGAATATATGCGGCTAAGAGCGATAATGAAGTAGATATATATGTGAGGATATATTAAAATAGGTACAAGGATATTTTTGTCTAAAAAATATATGTAAAACTAAATATCCAAACAACTCTCTTTCAACTAACTTCCATTACTTAAATCACCCCCCTCAAATAACTGAGAGGGGTTTATTAACAAAAAAATAAAAAAAAGAGAGTTTAGTGAAAAACACAAATAAAAAAATGAAAGTTTAAGGTAATTCACCCTAATAATAATAATAAAATTCTTTTTTATGCTTCAGTACTGTTGCCTCGTGAGACCACGTCACGTGCATGTCACATGTTAAGTTACTAAACTTCCATCCTAAATATCAACTGCTACTGCAAAGAGGTCATTGCACACGTCAGGATGTGACTGAGATAATCAGTGACACACTCAGAAGATTGAGTTACACGCTGAAACAATCAACGGGGGACAAGATTTTTTAAAAAAGTAAATACTAGTAATACTAGTATGACTTATGAGGAAGGAAGGAAAATGTTTGGATAAGCAGAGACAGTTAGACATTAATAATTTTCTCCGAAAGAGGGTATATATATATATAGATATATATATATATATATATAGGTTTGATCTTTGTTTTATGCAGAAACTGAATTGCATTCCATTGTGTTACTGATACAAATTGGAATTCATTTCTACTTGCTCTAACAATGATTTCTGGAGTGGATGCAGAGGACTGCCTTGGATGGGCAGCAAGTGATACATCAGGATTTCTCTCACCTTATAGATTTGGCCGCAGGTATGCAAACATACTTGTCATTTTGAAGCTCACTTTTATGGTACGGGTATATAATGGTGTTCTCTTGATTTTTATAATGAGGGGGTGGTTTGGCACATTGGTAAGGTTGCTCTGTTACGATTACCGAGTTTGAATCTATTGTATTTTTCTAATCACGGGTTCAAATCTAAGTAAATATGCGTGCATAAGTAAACATGCCTGCAAGGTTAAGGTTACATGTACATGTGACCCTTTCCAGACTCCACGATGACGAAAGCCTCTTGACTATATGAATTCTTAGTTATTTCTAATCCATGATTTGTTTCATAATTCTGAAAACAGGGCTGTTGGGAGCGTCGACGTTTCAGTAAAAATTACTCACTGTGGAGTTTGTTATGCTGATGTAGTATGGACCAGGAATAAACTTGGAGATTCCAAGTATCCAGTAGTGCCAGGGTATGTAATTTAAGTTTTTTTTTCCTATGTTAATTTCTTAGCCTGTCACACCTTATTATTTTCATGAATGATTAATTTATTGCATACCATGTATGTGTGCACCAGACATGAGATAGCTGGAATTGTGACAGAGGTTGGTTCAGATGTTCATGGCTTCAAAGTAGGTGATGAGGTTGGAGTTGGAACTCATGTTAATTCATGCAGAGATTGTGAGTATTGCGATATAGATCTTGATGTCTATTGCTCAAAGGGATCTGTCCGTACTTTCAACTCCGTCGATGTGGATGGTACAATCACCAAAGGTGGATACTCTACTTACATTGTTGTTCACCAGAGGTAATTAATAAAGCCTATACATCTATATATATATATATATATATATAGATGTACATACATATCAATATTGATTCATTATATATATTTTGATTAACCTACTAGGTGTTATTGTTGAACACAAGTACAGGTACTGCTTTAGGATACCTAATGGCTACCCTTTGGCCTCAGCAGCACCATTGTTATGTGCTGGAATTACTGTCTACAGTCCAATGATACGCCATAAGATGAACCAACCTGGCAAATCTCTCGGGGTGATCGGGCTAGGTGGCCTCGGTCACTTGGCTGTGAAGTTTGGAAAGGCGTTCGGATTGAATGTAACAGTTTTCAGCACAAGTTTAACGAAGAAAGATGAAGCTTTAGACATGCTCAAAGCAGACCGGTTTGTGGTCTCATCAGACGAACAGCAAATGACAGTAAGTCCATAAAACTTCTCTTTCATCACGTTTTATCAGTCACAAAGCAGGCACTATGACTTTAGCTCTGTTAAACTGAGGGCTAGCCTAGTGCACTAGACTCTGAAAAAGAGTAAAATGTATACAGTCTTATCTCGCGAAAAGACGGTCACTTCAACTATGGTAAGCTAATAGTCTCTATCTTAATGTGTGCAGGCCCTGGCTAGTTCACTTGACTTTATAATTGATACAGCATCCGGGGATCACCCATTTGATCCATACATGTCCATGTTGAAGACCGGTGGCACCCTAGTCCTGGTTGGTGTCCCGAGTGAAGTCAAGCTTAGTCCTGGGAGTCTTCTATTTGGTATTTTATATCTGAAATTCATTCAATCTGAAACTGGTCTGAAGAACATGTGCAAGTAAGAAAACAGGATATGTGTATAATGAAAATGAGTTGTTTTTTCTGGCAGGTATGAAAAGCATTTCTGGTAGTGCGACGGGCGGTACAAGAGAGAGGCAAGAAATGTTGGATTTCTGTGCAGCTCACAAAATATACCCAGAGATAGAAATGATTCCCATTCAGTATATAAATGAAGCTCTTGAAAGGGTTATAAAGAGGGATGTTAGATACAGGTTCGTTATTGATATTGAGAACTCTCTGCAGTGATACCAAAACAGAACAAAACAATGAGCTGTCTCTACTCTCAATGCTTGTAATGTTAGCAAAGGAAGGAGTGACCAAATAAAGCATATATGTATATGTATGTTCAAGTCATAAAAGCAAACATATAATAAACCACAAGTATGTTATTGTATCTCAGGCCTCAGTTGGCTCAAAACAGGTCAAATCCAGGATGTAAATTTTTGCAAAAAATTCCTTTTGCAATTAGATTGAAATTTGCTGTCAGTGACATTTGTATGTCTGATACGTCTATAAAGGCTTGAGAGTTCTGTTTTTTACTTGTTACTTTGTGTTCCATGATGGGGAAATAGTTTCAGTTTTCCCATTGGATTTGAATATGGGAACTTAGTTTCATTTTTGTAATGTAATTTCACAATGAAATTTTATGTTTTCCTTTTCCAAATTTGCATGTATTTCTGGTGTTGAAATGAGTAGAATTTAGTATAGGAATTTTTTTATTTAATTTTTATCCTCGTATAGGAATTTAATTGAAAGACAAAGACGGTAGATTTGATTCTTGGAGGACATTTTGTAACTAAACTAAATTGTCGCAAAAATATAAAACACCATGGTAATAGACTTTAGTGATGAAATGTGGTTGTCCCAAAATAACACCCTTTTATCACCACAAGTCTTTAGCGACGAAACTTAACGTCGCTATACCAACACAAAATATATTCTGCCACAGGAGTGACAGAGAATATTCTGCCAATATTCGTCACAATAGCGACAAAAAGATTCAGGCACCAAAGAGAAATTCGTGTAAAAAAGTAGATGAAACTACATTTCGTCGATTCTGATCAACCTATGTAATGACGAAAAGGGTGGTGTTAGCGACGAAACTTGATTGTCACCAATGTATTTTGCTAAAGTAGCAACAAAAAATATTTGTCGCTAACCATAAACGATGTCAAACTTTAGATAAGTTGTTATAAAACTTACCTGATGAGATATGTAATGGTAGTCATGTACACAATACTCCTTTGTATTTCAAGATACATACTGCAAAATAAATCCGTCTTCTAGCGACAATGAGCCCTTCTGGAATCTTTGTTTGACCAACCAAAAGATAAAATTCTTCTGGAACAAGAAGCATTTTGGTAAACACAAAAAAAATTGCATGGTCAAGGACCTACTCTAATGCACTGCACTATGGTCCAGTTTTGCCACGTTTTACTTTTGTTGATGTTTTCTTTTGTGCTTTTGCTGGGATGGGATTAAAACTGTTTTGCTTAAATTTCTGAACCATGGTGCAAACCTGCATCAGATAAACAATTGTGAGAAAAATAAATGACAATGGAAACACACGCGTTTAGAAATTTAGAGCTTTTATTCATCAAATAAAAATATTATGTTGCGGATATAAATATTATGGATTGCGCAAATAAATTAAATGCCTCCTCGTCAAATAATAAATTATTAAACAAGTCATAGTCACAATTTCCACTAGGATTGTTAATTTTGCACTTGAAAGGTTGGAATTCGAAAATTTTATTTTCAATTATTCTCATCAACAACTATACAGACTACACACTAATTTTGCAGCCTATCAACTATACATAATAAAACATAAAACTACAGAAGGTGAAATCTGAAATCATATTTACCACCCGCAAAAAGTACTGAACATTAATTTAAAAAAGAGAAGAAAAAGGCCATCATCCTAAATGAGCCCCAAAACAGCAAATCATGTACATCATCCAAACCAATCAACATGGGAAACAGACAACTAATTTATACGGTGACAATGGGAAACATTTGTCCTCATAAATGAATTTTAGTCAGTAACTTATCATTAATTCATTATTCTTTTTAACATTTTGGTGCTTCAGATTTGCTAAAAAGAAACATTTTGGTGCATCAGTCATATTCTACTATGAATTTGTTAATACTCTCTTCCAATGAGAATAAAAACAGGTCATGTCAATTTAAATTATGGGAGTGCTAAAAAAAATAATAATTATTATGGGACTGCCAAGTTGCCATGTTACCTTTCTTACTCCAGTTGTTAATCCCAAGCTTGAAAGGGCCCTGCTATCAACAGATTTCCAAGTCATGGTTTCACTGTCTGGTTTTCCAAGCAAGTCATCCGTCCCACCTTCATACGAACAGGTGCAAGTAAGAAGCTAAATGCATCATAAAATATGATAGTGCGTGCGCGTGTGATGTGGAGAGAGAGAGAGGAGGAGGTGGACTGAAACCTTTTAAGTGTAAAACCAACAACTCCACATACATCTTGAGACGAATGTGAGTGAAGACATGCACACATTCTCCAACATCTTTCCTCAAAAGAACTCTACAAGAGTCTTTTAAATCTAAATTGAATGACTTCTTCAAAAACTGATCAATAGCTTTTCTCCTTGTCGACAAGTCAGCTTCTCCACTCAACAGGACAGATGGAAATTCCCAGAGGCCGGCAAGTAAACCTTCATCTGGCCTCTTCACAAGAAGAAATCTACCTTCAGATTGAGGTCCCACCATTATATCATGTCCTTCTAATATCTCAACAACACAGACAGCAGAAAAGTCGTGTCTTTGTTTGGCCTTTACAACCCTTGCAGGATAGTCCGTAACTAGCACTGAACCAAGTTGTCCAGAAATTGAAAGCGCACGACATTGACCTGAGACAGGGCATGCAGAGCAGGTTGGGCTCAATGGAGTGCATATTGTTGCACCAAGTTCCATGAGAGCCTGGTTGAAATCTCCAGGCCTACAAGGATCAACTAACTGACCTGCTAGTTTCCTAATCCGAAGAAAATATAAAATATAATAAGGGAAAATTTTGGAAATGTTAATAATAAATTTCTGTAAGAGAATGAAATAAATATGCCAAAAAGAACAACGGTAATGATTGCGAAGATACCATCATCACTTTGCTTCAAACTAAATAATTCTTGTCTAGTTTTCTTTTAAAAAAGGTTGCAACTGAACAATTTTTCACTGAACAATGACAATTAACTAATAGTTTCTTTGGTATTATTAAAGAGAACAATGTATATATATATATATAGAGAGAGAGAGAGAGAGAGAGAGAGAGAAGATAGAGGTTGCAGTAAAGAATATTAAGTAATCACATGTTTTCCTTCAAGATTTGAAGATTCTACTATGCATTGGATGGTAATTTAAAAGATGGAGATTGGAACCAAATGCATATATGTGGGGATGGAAACTGACATTTCATCCCGTCCCTAAATCACATGATAATGGAAGTAGAGTACAGCAAGATGATGTAGTAATCACAAAAGCTTACCAAACATTCTTAATTGTCACCGAATCTTTCGGGTTTGCAGAAATAGTCTTTAATCTGGCAATAACCCTGATTACATTTCCGTCAACTACCGGCACTGCCTGAAATAGCAAATTTTGAAATTATAAAATGAAAGAAGACGCAATTTCCATGATTAACATGCAAATTATCAGAAGCAACGCACCTCTTGGAATGCTATAGAGGCAATTGCACCAGCTGTATAGTCTCCTATTCCTGGGATCTTGCGAAGGGCAGAAGCTGTTTTAGGAAAGCCACCTCCTTTTTCAACAATCTTCTTTGCTCCCTAACATGGGAAATAAGGAGTTACAGAAACAGGTAGCTCTACTGCAGAGATACGAAAAGATTTCAGATCTGTTTTTCTTCTCTTTTCAAAGTTTCTAAGTTCATCACTTTTCTAAAATATATGACTTCTCTAATCTATGCTTGCCAAAATTATTGCACCAACCTATTTTCAGTTATCACCTCTCATCCATTACACCAAACAAGCTGTAACCTTCTATGAAGCCAATAACAAACTCAAGTCGAGCAATTCAAAATACTAGAATTCCTGTATAAGAAGCATGTCCACATCTGTGGTTGAAAACGAAAGTTTTAGAGTGTAGATGGACGGTCTAAATGCTAAACTCTAGAGAAGACTGTAAGCCACCAGATCACCCTAAAGCTGCTAAGAAATCTAAAGATCGAACAACCATATATTCAAGCAGAAATTCAGTGTTAGAGATCCCAAAATGACTAGAGAATAATTAAAACAAATACCATGAACCAAAAAACTGCTACAATTGGAATTAGCAATCTCTAAAAGACTTCAGGGTGTCATGTTGCATCGAGAGCCTGCTATAAATTTCCCAGATGAGAAGCCGGGCTACCTGTAGCTTGTTCCCTTTCAATTTTACTTATAGTCATAAGTCCTAACTGTCAGTCCTGAACTGGGCATGAATAGATAAAAATGGAAGCTTACATCTGTAGTATTCTGTTAGAATTTGGGGAGGACATCTTGTAAATCAATTCTCAAATGAGTTATTGATGGTGTTTTGCGCTATAAGTGGCACACAAAAAAGTGAAAATCATCTTTTTGAAATACCCTTTACCCGATCATTAACTACCCACCAAACTGTTTTCCATTCCCATTGCTGTCACAAGAGGTTCATGTACTAAAGTCTCATGAAGGATTTATTTACAGCAAGTTTCACAGAGAATTGTGTTACACCACATGCATGAAAATGCAGTTTACATATAACAAAATTAGATAGGAAGAAAATAATTTGCGCCTGAAGAAGCAAGCAAGGTAAGAGAACTCACCTCTAGCAGAAACCGTGCCCGCCTATAATATCCCAAACCTGCCCACATCTCATTAACCTCCTGAACACATTAAGATGACAATATTCACAAGATGCATTGCTTATTATTGATTCAGATTTGATCAATCAATCAATGAAAGAAAAGGGTTTTACACACACCTCAAGAGAAGCGCGAGCGAGATGATGAATGGTGGGCCATTTCAGCATCCAACGGTTGAAATAATCGATCACCGTCTGAACCCTGGTCTGCTGAAGCATTACTTCAGACACCCACACTGCATAAGCTCTTCTTTCACTTCTATCTTTACTATCATCATCATCGTCATCATTGCCGTCGTTTTTATCGCCTTTGTTGATTATCCGCCAAGGGAGGTCCCTCTGGTTGTGGTCGTACCACTCTAATAAAGAAGCCCTAATTTCTAGGGTTTCGTCTTTGCAAAAATCGAAATCTTCAATGTCTCCACCTTTTTTAACTTCTTCTTCTTCAGCATATTTAGGTTTTGGGCCATTCACTCGTCGTGGTCTCTTCTTGGCGGTGGTGGTCTCCGACATTGTCGCCTTCTTGTTCTTGGCGGTGGTTGTAGGAATCGCGTCCTCCATGGATATGACCGTTGGAGGAGAATGTAGATACTGTGCCCGATAAACCGAGTACAAAAGTGGACTCCTTCGCGCTGAGCAATGAGTTTGAAAATACGAGTAGGCAATCCATGGCATGTTAAAGCCTTGTTTGCCTTACTCGGTTAAAGTTTTAATTTTTATGCCATGGTTCTATATTTCTTTAAAATAAAATTGTGCACTGCTATTGTTAGCTTTCTCTCTCCTCCTCTTTTTTTTAATTAAATATTTGAGATAAAAAAATCTTAAATTAATTTTGGGAATCGAACCCACCATGACTGTAAAACGCCTATAAAAAAATCGAACCCACCATGACTGTAACCCACCATGATTTTTTAATTTTGACTATAAAAAAGTCTAAAAAAATCTTAAATTAATTTTGGGAATTGAACTAAATTCGCCGTATGTGGGAATCGAACCCACCATGACTGTAAAACGTCTCTCCAAATTATTGTCCATTTACCTAAATATCTTTAAATAAAACCTAATATAATTTATTAATATTTCTCCTTTCTTAAGTTTGAGTCTTGCTTTAAATAATCCGTTATTTGAAACTGAGAAGAAATAAAAAAATAAATTGCAATTCTTCACATATTACACAAAGGAAGAAATAATTAAACCCCAAAAAGAAGGCTAAATCGTAAATTGCACATTTGCCTTGTCCATATTCTGATATTTTCCTGGTAGAAAGAATAAAATAAAAATTGACAGATGGCTTTACGTGAATGGTTGGACTAGTTTAATGTTCTAGATACCTTAAACAAAACCTTGTTTTTAAATCCACAAGGTGGATTATACATGTCAGTTTGAAACATATCTTACAAACAGACAAATATCATCAGTACTCCTAAAAATTGTTTAACAAAATCAACCACAGCAATATATATTATTAAACAGTAGGAGAAAAGCCTGAACCTATTGACACTTCCTAAGATGGATATATACTCTGCTCATTCAAGTCCTTAAGAACCAGTTGTGGGATGAATCTCGTCCGGTGTAGTTGTAGCTTCCCTGCGCGCAAGTTTCCCCATCTGAATTCCCAGACTAGAAGAACCATCGTTGGTGGTCGAACCCCCTTGGCCAGAGGCTTCACTTGCTGCCTTCAACGCCGTCTTCTTCTTCACCTTCTGAGCCCAACCAACAAGACCCACTTGCACATGGTCTTCAAATATTGCCTTCTTGAAGGAACTTCCCATCTACATTTTGTTTCCAAGAAATGAAAATTGTTGAGATAAGATTTGCGGACCAAACATATTTCATGTTTTACATTAAACTACAATGAACTCACCTGTGCCACAATGGCATAGAGTGGCAGTGTGCTATAACTGCAGACCACCTGAATAAATACCCTAAGAGGCGAAACAATAGAGTTGTCACAAATTAAACAAAAGATGAATAGAATAAAAGCATCACCAATTCTGACATAGTGAAAGAATTAGAAGTGCCAAAATCAGTTAAATACGTTTGGGTCTTACCCAATAATGAGCCTCGGAACAATATAACGTACTTGTCCCATAATGCAGGAATCGAAACCATATTGAACCTAAAGGTGATTAAAGCATACAAGAATATTGTTATCTTGCTTAGTTTCCAATTGGAAGACATTAAGAAACAAGTTTTGATATCAGCTTACCCATATCCAAAAGAAAAATGCTATCTCAAAAGCATTTTGGAAGAGTATAAAATGTATCAAGAACAGGACAAAACCAGGCCGATGGAACCAAAAGTGATCATCTGAAGGTTTAACTACCAATTCTCCTTCTATTGCTACATGTTTCTCAGCAACCTCATGAGCCAACTGGGTAATTACATGCTCCAATTTAGTGCCCACAGCAAGAAGAAGCTGCAAAAGTAAATAAATTAAATTAAATTAAATTGTAAGGGATAGAACAATAACGAACATAAATGTTGTATTGCACAATGCTCTCACACAAACCGAATTGGAGGTCTTCATGATGAAAGACATTTATGTTTACAAGTATATGGATGCCTAAGGACGTGCAACAAATGTGGATAAAAAAAATTGCACATGGTTGCATCTTTGAATGACTGACTCACAAAACCATTCAATAATAAGCACTTATGAGCAGTCTACTTTGATGGAAAAGATAGGAAAACAAAGGAAGTGATTTGGAAGGAAACCTTGTGTTTGTTTTGAAAAAGTGGAGAGAAATGGAAGGATTTGGAGAGAGGAGGGGCTCACTAATCTCTTGTAAAGTGATTTTCTTATCCTCCCAAAAGTGGACGAAAATAGAAGGATAGGAAGTTAGTAATTACCTGTTTTGCCTTTATTTTTAATTACAAGTAAATTCCAGTTTTGGCCTTATCACTCACAAAATAAAACACAATTTAAGGTTAGTACTATCTTTTCACACTATCCAATCATTTATTTTCTTTTCCCCATAACTAATGTTATCATTTCTTTTTCTTTTCCCTCCTATTATACCAAACACAACCTTAGAATCAACCCTGTGCTTAAACGTATGAGTGGATAACCAGGACAGTTGGAACAGTCTGAACATGACATCTTGAAAACCAAACTAGATTATGGTTCAAAGGAAAAAAAAGATAAAGAAGGGACAAATATTCCAACTTCTTTGATCTTGTACTCTGGAAAGCAACTGACAAATGATTCTTTACCAAAGTTGTTTTATATATATATATATATATAATATGCACACAGTATATTTATATGCACACATAGTATGTATATATATGTACATGTTTATGTATATATAAATCAGAGAAGGAAAAGAAGATTGACTAGAACAAAAATCAATTTACATAATCTCAACACAATGGAAAATGAATAAAATAAGAAGAAAAGAGAAGTAAAAGAGGGAAGAAACTAGCGGATGGTTAACCTGATCAGAAACATCAACATGTGGGAGCATTAGCAATGAAAAATAAATAAATATAAATACATTCCTATTTCTTTCAAGAACAGTTACAACAACAACCACCAAGCCTTTCCCAATTATTTGGGGTCGGCTACATGAAGGCCATGTTTTCATTCTGTTCTATTTAATGTCATAACCTTACTAAATCCACATGCTATCATATCTTTCTTAACTAACTCTACCCACGTTAACTTTGGAATTAGCCTCAATGGGGACTATGTCACTTTTTCTAACCGGTGCACTTAAAGGTCTTCTTTGCACATGTCTAAACCATCTTAACAACATTGTGATCTTTCAAGAACAATTATTTTCAAAGAAACTTAATTGTCAGATGAAGATGTCCAAATCATACCAGAAAGAAAAAGGAAGCTTTAGAAATTTTAAAAAATAAAGGTGAATTAACTTTGCGGCACTTTTTGATTTTTGATGACTAAATATTATTATTATATATATATATATATATATATATATATATATATATATATATTTATATTTATATTATTTGCGATCTTATACAAATCCAATTTTCTTTTAATACAAAAATTGACTTCCATTCACGAATTGAGATGACTCATTAAGGCAATGTTTGGTGTGAGTGAATGGAATAAAATGAAGTGGGAATGGAATGCTTTTGTTTCCATTCTTTAGTTTGGTAAGTAACTTTAAAGTTGGAATGATGATTCTTGCCCATTCTTCGAGAAAGGTGATTCCCACTAATTCATTCCACTTTCCAACTAAAGGAATGATCATTCCATTCCCACTTTTAAATAAATAAATTAATAAAAAAAATATTTAATGAAACGTGGGCCCCACACACACACACACACACACACACATATATTACAAAAATATGATGTTTTTGCTGTGCAACCAAACATGAGAACGAGAATGGAGTTTCCATTCTCATTCCATTCCCATTCCATTCTTTGACTCATTCCATTCCCACTTTATTTCATTCAACCACACCAAACTAGCCCTAAGTGCTTCAACTTAACATTTATATTTCTAAATTTACTCTTTTCTTAAGACACACACACACACACGAAAAAACAAAAACAAAAACAAAAATTACATGACCTCATATATAATATTCAAACTCTACCTACATATAAAAATCAAGAGATCGTGACTTTTTCGGGGTGTGTGTGTATATAAATATATGAAAAGGAGTAAATTTAAAATTTTAAATGGTAGACTAAAAAACCACCAAGGGCTGTAGCCTAATGGTATATCCTCTACCTTCTAAAGTAAGAGGTTTAGAGTTCAAGTCCCACTAGGGACAAAAAAAAAAGAGGCAAGTGAGTTTTTCTTGCCATGGTAAAAAATAAAATACAAACAATAATAATGGTAGAGTGAAAATAGTAATGGGTCATTTTCAAAATATAGCATTGAGAGATCCCATTCTATTAATATAAGTCAAATTATGTAATAAAGGATAATTACACTTGTGATCTCAAAATATAAATATTTTATCTTTGATTTACTCAATGACAATTCACCCAAAAAATAAACATAAAATTGGTAAGTACAATTGAAAGAAAACATAAGGGAAGAAAGGGCTAGCCCAGTGCACAACTCCCTCCATTGAGGGGTCTGGGGATAGTCTGATGTATAAGCAGCCTTACCTTCATATGGGAAGAGGTTGTTTCCTGTTTCTAATCTGTGACCTCCATGTCATAATGAAAATTTTTTGGAATAATAAAAAATACACAAAGAAGGAAGTTAAAAATAATCATACTTCATGTTCAAGATTTGAATAATTTTGCACTTTATGGTTGAGAAGGCAAGCATGTTTGTCACAAATGCATGCATGAACATTTGCATTATAATTATACCAAGATACTCACAATGAAAGGAATAAAAGCTATCCAAAAGTAAGTATGCCAACCTGCAAAACAAGATAAAATATATTTTTTTTATGTAATGATCGTCATATAAGTTGACAACATCAGAAACAACATGGAAATGTCACAACTAGAAAAGAGAATCATAAATAGAACAAAGAATATTGCCACAATTACAATTCTTTATCTATTTGTATATTGGGATTAATAAGAGTAGTAGAGTATAATAACGGGCTTCAGCTTGGGATGAATAGAGCGCATAGGGTTAATGCATTTCTCATTCATGTTATAGGACGGAGGATTAAAATTACAAACCATGAAACCTTACAACTGAGAAATCAAAAACAATAAAATCCTATCTAATTCAATCCAATAGTAATTGGCACATGTCTCATGTGTAAAAAATATTAAACAATCAAATTGCAATAAATAACGCTTAATAAAAATCTCAAAAAAAAAAAAAAAAAACGAAAATTAGTTTCATGGAATGCAAGACTATAAACAGTAAGGATTAATGTTTGATAGGAAATACAAAGTAATTATGACATTAACAAACAAGAAACGCTTAATATTACTCACTATTATTATATTGATTAGACCAACCAAGAGGATTGTGAAACTGAAGAAAAAATATGCAGGATAACATAGAGTTGTTTTTGTAGTACAACCTTTATTTAGAAAACTGTAATAAAATTTTCCGTGCCGGAGAAAAAGAAAAGAGAAAAAAAACAAACAATCTTCAAAAAAAAATTAATTTGTTTGTACAGAGTGCTAGAAAATCGCAACATTAATGTAATGAAATTATGATGCTGACTAAGTGTTTGGAAAGCCAGAATTTGTATCATCAGATTTAGTCATCCATAAAGAGGGAGCATTGAAGAGGGCATAAACAATAGAACTAAGCGATAAGAGTGGAAGTGGAAAGATGCTTCTTGAGTGTCCAATGGATCCACAGACTTCATATATAAAAAATAAAAAATAAAAGATTAAGTATTACAGATAATGTTAGACAGTCAATAAGCATGTGTGCAGGCAGCAGAATGGATAGCTGAAAAAAGGATGTTGAGATGGTTCGAGATGAAGGCAATACAAGGTCAAAGGGATGTCAAAGGGAGATTGGTTGAATTAATGAGAAAAAAAAAAAACAAACAAACAAATAGCAATGACACAACAGATTATTGTCCAACGTGGAACAGTCGGCTAATGTGATTCACGCAGCCCAATCCAAACAATTGCAGAGACCTCTTTCGCGCTCAGGAACTAATAGCTAGAAAACTGTAGCTAAGCAAACAACCAGTCATTCGAGTCAATTATAACCTTGAAGTAAAACTGTAAATATAACTAATATTGAAGCACAAGAAAACAATAACATCAATTGATAGCATCTGGCATTGGGGTTTAGAATGATGTCAAAGTTAAATAACTCAATGAAGAAGCATACCATTAATATTCAGCAACAGGAAGACAACCACAAATATCCACAGATACCAACTGAAACCAATTAAACCAGATATTAAACCATATATCAAGTAGAAGCAGTAGGAAAGAGAAAGGAAAAGAAAAGAATGCTCAGCTTTAATGTTTATGCAATGTGCCTATTCCCTACTGACCATGCAGAACACAAAGCTTTAGCTCTATGCAGGTAATTCCATCAATTACTTACCTTATACCAACGACTTCCCTAAAATCATCTTCAAGGGCACGTATCATATACTTGTGAAAATTAAACCTTGGACTTCCCCTGCAATGTGTCTACAGTAAAAATAATTTCATTGTTAACACAAGTGCCTCAGATGCAGCAACAAAGAGAATGGTGAAACAAAAATGTAAAGTAGCACAGCAAACTTATATCAGATACTAACCATAATGAAACCAAGTCGAAGTGTCACGTAATCTGATTTGGTGACCGATCCATAAAATTGCTTGAAAAAGGCTTGCTGAAATATTCACCATAAAAGCAGATTAAAAAAAAGGTTCATGTATTTACCCAATCAAAATTACAGAAATGGCTTGTGCATTCAGGAAAAACAATAATTAAATCACTGGAGTGCTTTCACATCAATAAGCAACTCAACTATTGAGATTGTTCCTTTTCTAATTCCTCAAACTATTATTTTTATTTTAAAATTAAGGCATTATGACTGAAAGTAAAATACCATGGTCAACAATTGAACACGGTTGTAAAATAAAGTGAGCTACTCAATCTTTTCTTTTGTTTTTCATTATTTATTTATTTATTCTTTTTAAATGGTGAGCTGCTCACCTTTTTTTTCCCCAGGTAAATAGAAAAGTTACTGAATCTTGACTCAAGATTAGCTCAATTTTAGGCACATTCTAGATCATTTGCAAATTATATTTTGATGCTAAGCCCAACAATATTTTGATGCTAGCACAATTATGAGGCTCAGCTTCAAGCCTTTAACTCAATTCAATAAGCTTTTAAACACTCTATATAAAGAGGCAAGCTACGGAAGTGCGGAGAGAGATTTACTCAAGTATAAGCTTACTCTAAACGTTATCATATTATTCTTCACTCTGTAGCTCATAATTTTTTTGAGCCAAGCTTGAGAAGAGAAAAAAAAAAAAAAAAACATAACCATAATTTCTCCAACATTCTACTTTTGTGAAAATAAAAAAACATAGAACACGAGAAAATGTACATTTCAACATATATGTAAGCATAAATCTATGGTTATGTTTTCAACCAAAAACTTTTTGACATTGTTTCCTGTGAAATCTAAAACAAACCATATACAAATATTAACTTACCACCCAACCCAAAATGGCTGAATCTTTACCAATACCCAGAAAGTGATCCTGAATGAAGGCGTGTTGATGGACATGGGTGACCTTCCGGCTTTTCAAAACTGCACAGTAATGTTCACAGATCAGATGTATACGCACAAGATAAAAAGAACATGTATGTAGTTCAGCCACAAACAATCAGTTGTCTTTGCCATCTAATGCCAAAAGGAAGGGGGTTTGCGTCTCATTTATCTGTGTCCTTCCTTCTGTAAAAGTTTGATTTCTCAAAATAAAAGAAGAAACTGAATTACAAAAAAAGGCAATAACTCTCACGTTTGTCTGTATCATAATTCTCTTTTGCAATGGTGTCCTCCCAATGTTTCCATTCACGTATCTAGGTCACGATTAAAGAAAAATACAGGAAAAGGCTTGTAAAACTAACAACAGTATACAAAATTGCTAAAAAATAAAGTGTTTCTAGGTAGGAATAAATGTAAAACGCACCTTTGCCCCTCCAAATAAAACAGTGACAACACAAAATGTCACATGTACAATTGCTAGTACGAAGATAAAGATATGTAGATGATGCAATGCTTCGACAGATATCAATGGGTGCTTGTTCTGTAGGTTAAGAAAAATAGAGAAAACAAGAAAACAATTAGACTTCTCGTTTTTCATGTTCAAGTGCACCCATGGAAAACAACTAGAAAATCAAGTTATCCTGGAACTAAGAAGAACATTACAAGTAGGTATGCAAAAATGCTCCATAACCATGAATCAATACCATCTGGTTAGAATCGGATCAGCTCATTTATTTCTGACTATGTATTTAGATTTTGATCATGATTGAATTAGGATTAGAATGATGTCATTGTAAGGCATTAATCCACAGACAAAAAGGATTATCAGGTTCTAAAAACTCAATCAAGAGTGGACACCACAATGTTTTTGGACTGCCTTCATTAAACAATCTCTTTCATCATCCCATCTGACAGCCACACGGCATGATCTCTTTGGACCACATACCTAATCAAAGTTCCAAATAACCATTTAGAGTCCTGATACAATAAATTGTGAAACCCCTATCTCAATGATACAATTTTGCTCTAGACCTCAATACCCTCCTCATTCTCGATCTGAATCAAAACAAAGCAAGGAATCTCTACAACTTTGGGGCAATATATATGAGCCATATTTTATCTATACCTGTGATTTCTCTAAAACTCCTAAAGGCACCAATCAGAAGGTACCCTAGTGAAATTTTGTAAAATAAGAAATACTAATAATAAATAATAAATAAAACCATCTTCTTCTTACGATAATGTAGCTTCTACAAAGTACAATAATTGTTCAACCTGACATAACGAATTCAATGCTATCCAGATTTTAAATAGATGTTGATGGTATAAATATGAAAAAACAAACATCTATTTACATGTAGGTGAATATATAGAAGTACAATTTTCCAATTCAGAGCAGCCACTTTATGATTCTCCCTTTTTATGGTTTTCCCAATTCAGAGCCCACACATATAATCCACACTAAACAGATCTTGACAAATTAAAGTAAATAAAACAATAAGAAGCTTAATATACTAAAGGGGTGAATTGGATGACCTTTGCGGTACAGTAACCAACGGTCCCTGATTCTTCAGCAAGCAGACGTCCCAAATGGGAAGTTGTTGACGTTGCATTGGATTCGGCTTCTTCCGATGGGTACTCGCAAGGAAGGAGATGTTTTGTTATATCTTCATTCACACAAATCTTGACAATACTACTTTGAAATACCGTCAGAAGCAGCGATATAAACCCTAAAAGCATCAACTCTGCACCAACCAAAACATTCATCCGTCCAAATTAAAAAATTCCAAAAAAGAGAAGAAGAGAATGGAATGAAAGAACACAAAAATAAAAATACTGCACAATTTGGAATTCTTGTACATAAATATAAATATACAGCCCTAATGCACAAGAAGTAGAAAGAAAATACTAGAGATGGAGAGAGAAAATGAGAACGCAGAGAGAGAGGGGGAGAGAGTTGGTGCAGTACCTTCCTTAACTTTCTGTAAAGCTTCGTAGAGGGGCTTCTGGTTCTTGCTCTTCAGATACTGCAAACATTCGCTCAATCAGGTGTTAGAAAGAAAAGATTTCTATAAAAATGATGCAATATTTGTACATACAGTATAAATATATATATAGAGAGAGAAGTACCTTTCCGGCGTAGTGGAGGAGGCGTTCGACGGCGAGGGAAATTCCGACGATGACGGTGCAGACGGCGGCCACAATCCATGTCGGAGTGTACTCCAACGATGCCCCCTCTTCTGCCCCTCCTCCAGCCATTCAAATTCTATTCCAGAATCCCAATCAATACACTGTCTATAAATATATATAGTATATCTATATATATCTGTGCCTCAACTCGGTCCCTTTATCGAGCTCTTCTTCTCTGAATTACGTTCAAAATTAGTGAATAACACTTGTAAGATAGTCTTCTGTCATTTTAAGAAAAGCAAAACCACCAACTATATATAATCAGGGGATAAAAACGCGTGTGTGCGCGTGTGAAAGAGGGAGACAGAGAAAGAGAGAGTGGGACATCACTACATCAATGACAGAACTCAAATCAAGTGTGTGAGTTGAGTTGGCAATGGAATCTCACAATAAAGATGAGATTTGAAGAGCCTCAGGTGTTGGGCAATAATGTAATTCGCCATTATTTTTTTTGAATTTTGAACTGTGTTTATTATCCATCATAATTTCATAAATGAGTACAAAAAAGTAGACGCGCTTTCACACGTAGTGGTCACAACAACTGTGTGAGAAGGTAAAACGCGGCTACTGTTGTTTTATATTCCCGACCTTTCATGTGGACTTAATTTTTCCATTGGTGATGTTTCTCATTGGTTTTTGTTTGGACATTTGTGACTACCACTAAGGCACTAACATACAAAATGAATTATAATGTTATTAACTTATTTAATATTAAATGAGAGATGATTCGTGTGCCGTCACCAAATCGTCAACTGAAGTCTTCGGCGGAAAATTTTACAATAACATCCGACATGAATGGTAAAGTTAATGTTGCGTGGAAGAGGATTCTTATGCGCCGTCCTTTACGGGACTAATTGGGATTTCCACACAAGATGAGATTCAAGTCCAATATTAAACAGACAATGCTTATACTCGACAAAAGACTTGAGCCGGAGTCGAATGGTACAAGATTTTCATCTATGAGATGCATTACATTGGAATCGTCACACAATTTTTTTCAACAAATTTTTACGTTTCGATAGCATTCTCGTTCAAATTCTTTCCGTTCATGACTTAATTCTGTTTACACTTCCGCTCTCAAATTCGTTTTTGCTCTCGCTTTTACTTTATGTGATTTAGGGATCCACTATGATAGGTTCTAATTTTATTTATTTATTTATTTATTTTCTTCTTATAACACGCATACGCACCATTCAAGTTAGGAGTGCGATTCAAAAACGACACCAACGCCGCTATGCGTCTCAATTTTCTTTAAGTGTCATTTTAAAATTAAATAATGATCTACTTGAATATGTTGGTTAAATTTTTATTTAAGAGAGAGTAAAAACTTAAACGTATGCAATTTTTTTGGTGAAAAGAAAGAATTGGTAGGCTTATTAGGGATTTGGATTCTAGAAAAATGTATGAAATGACTCGTTCAACTAATTAAACTGTAAGCCTCTATCTATCTCTACGTGCAATTCTTTATTGTTTTTATTATTATTATTATTATTATTATTTTGGCTGCTCAAAAATAAGTTAAGTATCATGCCATAAAGCAATAACATATAAGTCAATAAATGTTAGTTAAGCTGTACTTAACTATGAGATTTGAACTACTCGAGCAAGTTTGAGATAAAAGTGCACCTTAGATTTGAACTACTGCTATAGACAACTATTGATTTTTTTTTTTTCAACTCTACTGTATCAATAATAAATAAGAATAAAATGTCTCTTCTTTTAGTGTCCAATTGAGAATGAACACCGATTAGTACTTAAAAATAGCATGATCACCGCGTTTAACTAATTAAGTATTTTTAATTAATATTATTACAATTTAATTGTAATTAATAAATTTAATATGAAAATTTAGTTTGGTTTACCAGACTTGATGTAAACTTGGAATAAATTATTAAAATTGAGGATCATATATTTTTCATAATATTACTACGCGTGTGTGAATGTATGAGAACAAAGTCAACAATATTCTTTTAAAGTTTGGTGGAGTGATTTTTTAATGGGTCTGGTTAGAAAAATCAACCATGAGAAAGGTTTGGTGGTTCTATTGAACAATAAATAGTCATCAATTGTGCAATCTTTTGTCAATATATCATGGAATAAATTTGCAAAAATGGCATTTCATATCATGAAAAAATGAAAATCCCATTCCAATTAAGCCCAGTAGTTGGGATCTGGTTCAAAGTAATATGAGGTTCTAAACGACGTTACCTCATTTATATCAAAATTAATGTCAATTAGCTATTGGTTAATTCTATTTCAAGCAACAATAAAAAGTTAAGTGTCTTGTCTTTTTTTGTAAAGGTTGTGAATCCAAGTCAAACCTAACCTGAAAATATAATTAGTGGCCCCTAAGATGGGATTGTGCATTATTCTTTTAACTCACAAATCTCAATTCGAGTAACTTATTTTTGTTTTCAATCCATTGATTTATTAATTCTCAATAACTACTGGTTCAAAGAACGTTTTTTTTTAAACATAATATATCTTCGTTGATCATTTTAAATTATGATTCACTTAGATTATTTTTACTGTATTTAAGCCATTATTGACTGTGTCTAGATTCTAGAAGTGTAAAACGGACTAGGCTATTTAAAAATAAAAATAAAAAATCGCCATCTCGCCAGCGTTTATTTTTATTTATTTTATTTTATATTCAGTAAGTCAAGTTAAGATAAGTTGAATGGAAAATGCAAACTATTGGTTTGGGCTTGGAGTATTAGAAAAATAAATTTTTTTCATTTTTTTAAGATTTTTAATTCATTAAAGAGAAACAATATTGCACTCCCTTTTTATAAAAGCATTCAAGTTCCAAAATAAACGAATTTATTATTTCTAATTTTGCTAATTCATAAATATTAGAATCCGGTAAAGAAAATGAGGATGGACGATGAATATCACCTTTGTTGATCAAAATAAATTTATAAACTTAAAAATATTTCTATCCCGCAATATTATTAACTTAACATGTTTTACATTCAGAACTTATGTTTAAGTCGTAACTTATTATTTAACAGCATTAATAAATATAATTACAATTATAGTGATATATATGTATGTATATATAGAAATCTTACAAGATGATGACGTGATTAATTATGATTAAAAATAATTTGGATAAGAATTGAGGTACGTGGAGTTCAAGAGAAATATTTGACCCGAGACTTGGAGAGGATTACGGTAGCACTTACTTGGACCTCTCTTCTTGTTTTTTAGCCCAATCCAGAAGCCAACTGCCTGATTTATGGACCATTTCATATTGGGCCAGTCTTCAAAGGACAAGGACCAAATTACTCCCCAATTAGAGGGGCCAGGGATGGTTCAGGCCTGCCCTTACCCCTCTGGAAAACTTGTCCAGTGGATAGAAACCTGGTAAACTCCACCTTTGGTTAGATAATCTTTTTATCTTTTGAATGAGACACTATTTCCCTCTCTCTTTGGGGGTCAAATTAATCCACAAACCTTTTTTTCAGAACAAGTGATGTATATAAATTAACTTTTAAAATCCAAAAAATGAAACATTCTCTGAATTCTGAGGATGTCAACGGACTATTGTATAAGTAGAGATATAAATCAATCATCATGATGTCGTGTAGTTGGTCCACACCTCACTCTCATGTTCTTATTTAGCATCTCTAAATTCAAAAAATGTATATTGTTTTTTAAAACCATCCATTATAGAAGTTTTATTATTATTATTATTATTTATATATTACAAAGTATACGAATTATTTATCAAAAGAAAAAAATTTCAAAACACTATAATTTTTCTTTTTCTTTTTTTTTTTCCCGGTAATTAAACAATAATTTATCTTTGGTTCTTACAAAAAGCACATATATATTTATCTATTTAAATTTAAGTGTGTAGTAAAATACCAAGCTCCGTTAATCTCACAAAATGAAATTGTTACAAGAGGTGTCAATATTAATTTTTAAAACAAATGGAGTTGTTAGCGTGATTACAGAAATCCTGAAAGAAAGTTTGAAATTTATCAAATAACTTTTAAGTAGTATTTTGTTCTATCCATATCTTATATAATATAATTATATAATGCAATTATTTTTTACCTTGCGAATAAAAGTTATTCAATATCGTAAATAAATATCTAATTAACCTAATCTCCATATACAATAGATCTATATGTTACATATGTACATAGTAAATTGCAAGAAAAAAAATAAATTTAGAGTAGTTGTTTTGGGAAGTATAAATCTTGTCTGATGCGCGTGTGCGTACCCGTTTTTCCCCTATGCGGCCCCACAATAGAGGAAGACAAAATGACTTTCAAAAAATTTATGTATTTAAATAAGAAGAAATCACTATCATTACTTTGTTGCATTGCAATTATGACTGCAATTGGGATGGATTGAGCGAATTTGAGATATAATTTGAGCCCAATTTATCATATGAAATATTAAATTTAAGTCCAACTCATCCTTCTATTTTTAAATTCAGGTTAGCAACTCGGGCTTAGATTCTTGATAAAAATTTTAGGTTAATTTGAATTACTTATATGGCTAATCCATACATCGAAAATTTAATATGATATTGAATTAGTTTTAGATTATATTATTCTTAAATAAGAAAAAAGTTTACCGATTTTTTGTAAATTTTTAATAAATTGTAAACAAATTTTTAAAAAATTAATTCTCCTAAATATTAACATACAATAAGTTAAGATTTAACAAAAGAAGTTGAAAATAAAAAAAATAATTATAATTTAAATATTATATATAATGTATTAAAAAGTAAAAATATATATGAAAATAATATTAAAATTCGGGTTTTGATTAACTCGGATTACTAACACTTCAACTCAAGTCCAACCCTAATTAAATTCAAGTTGAGATTTTTCAATACAAGTCTAATTTTATTTGTAAAAATAATTGTTCAAGCCTATAAATTATCGGGCTGGGCTCAAATTAAATTCGAATTACCCGGCCCAAGTTGCACCCTAATTGCAATGCTTTGTCATTGTGGGTGAAAAGGGCACTATGGTTGTTTATTCGTACAGGGTATCGATACAGAGAAGATTTAAAGCAGTGGAGAGAGGAAGAATTTGCCCACACAACTGAAGAAAAATAGGAATGGAGGAAATTGGGTTTTTAGGGCTAGGAATCATGGGGAAGGCCATGTCCATGAACTTACTGCGCCATGGCTTCAAGGTCACTGTATGGAACCGGACTCTTTCTAGGGTATACCCTCTCTCTTTCTATATATATGTATATGTATGTATGTTTGCTGCGTGGATGATGAGTTATGTTTTTGCCATTTTATGTTACTTGGCCATTATCTTTAATAGAACCTTTTGTTAAGGTGTGGGTTGCTTGAAATTGATGTGCTTCATTATTCTGCTGATGTATGTATAGATACAATCATTGTTAGCATAAAAGACAAAATTTGTGGTGATGATTTTTTATGTGACTCATCCCAATCTACATATGGTAGCCCTTCAAATGTAGGATTCTTCAGTGGTTCATCCTCGAGTACTTCCAAAACTTCAAATATCATATGAGGAGTGATGGACCCAGAAAATTTTATAAGGGGGCGGACTTTTAATTTGTGGGGGCAAACTTATATAGTGGTTCTATTTTTATAATTTCAATTAGGTTTTTTCATAAATTTTCAAAAGTCTAAAGTATAAAATGCAAAAAAAAAAAAAAAAAAAAAAAAAAAAAAAAAAGAAACAATGGGCTTAATTTTAATTTTAGTGGGGGAATTTTCATAAATTCTTAAAAATTTAAAGTATAAAATGTAAAATAAAAATAAAAAAATTCAGTGGCGGAAAATTGTAATTTTAGTGGGCATCTTCATAAATTCTAAAAAAATTAAGGTATAAAATAAAAATATAAAAAATTCATCCGTGCCTGCATATGAGCTGAATTTGATTTTGGCTCCCAAATTATGTGCACTAAGTTCTGGTTACCCTTCTCTCGCTCATGTCCTGAAGAGTTTAGGGCATCAACATGTACTTCAAAATAAACAGTATTTAGCTTAAATTCTAAATCTCTTAATATTCTTCCAAGTTACACTTGCCAGCAATTTGGAATGGAGGAGTTGCCCATTCAATTATTTTTTAAAAGGAATTGATAACAATATTCTACCTACAGTTTCTTGATAACCTATTTTGTTGAAAGTTCTTACATTGATGTTCTTCCCCGAGAGGGAAATAAATTCTTGGACATACTTGTTAACTTGGTAACATGCCTGTAACCAATAACATTATAATTTTCTAAACCTTTGTCAGCAGAAGCATCCTTGTGCTTAGTTTCAAGTTTTCTTGTATGAGTTTTAACTTAATATTATAGATCATAAACACTAACAAATAAAAAAGAAATGTATGAACTTATTCATGGAGAAATAGAAAAAAGAAAAACAAAGACAATTTTCAAAATTGGTAAACATCTACGTACCTCAGTCATAGAGGAATGATGAATGCCTTGGAGATAAAAATTGGAAAAATTTAACAAGATGATTTCAGTGGAGACCAAGAAACGCACCAATGAGGAAGACTGGCACGTATCACATTGAGAGTAATGTTAGGCAAGGGAAATTACTAAAACTAAATTGGGTTGAGATAATAAAAGGAAAATATGATAGCATGTGGTTCTACTGAATTTTTAGCATTAAATAGACTGAATGTTTAAGCAGGTTGTCATGTAATTGAACCCAAACTGTTGAATCAAGGCTTTGTTGAGTTTAGGTTGGACGTTGTTTCTTTAATTTGAGATATGGCACCTAAAATACCTTCCCCAATGAAAAGCAGTCACCTACGTGAAGTATACATAAAACAAGGATACAGTTCTCAATTTAATCAAACTACATACCCTCAACAGTGACTCCCAACTTCGAACTTAATTGAATTCCTGAAGGAAACTGCAATGTTTTTATTTTATTTTCCCATAAATTCAAGTAAGTAAAGAGTTAATTGTCTACACCACATATTAGAAGTCCAATACTCTTTTTGGAAATCAACTATCACAGGTTTGTTGCTTACAATTATTTGTATGAACCAACATTTAAACAAGTTGATTATGATTTTCCCTGCATTTGGTCCCTATTTAACCGTTTTAACATACTTCTGCCAGTTTCAATTCTCTAATATCAATTGACAACTTTTAACTCCTTTTACTCCACCGTAACAACAAATATTTTATAATTAGAGCTGATTCTGTTCCAGCTTAATGTCTATAGTTCTCTTAAATAAGTCAGTCCAAAGAATGAATGCCGGTTGCCCTCATTTTACTTTCTTCCTTGTCGAACTAAAATTTTTAATCTAACTTTTGAAGCTTAGCAAATAATTTTATGCAACCATGAGGCATGTCGCATGTGCACTTTGATCTATGTTTTTTGATTTAGAGGGTTGAAGTCTGACCAACTTAATCAAGCAATTGAAATTCTTTTTTCTGTTCTTGTCACATTTGAAGCAAAGCCTGTTGTACTCAAACCTTCTTCTGATTTCAGTGTGATGAGCTGGTGGAGCATGGAGCTTCAGTAGCAGAAACCCCTGCAGCCGTAGTTAAGAAGTGCAAATATACCATTGCGATGCTGTCTGATCCTTCTGCAGCTCTTTCGGTAAGTAAATCAGGTTGGTGTTTCTAAAATCAACATTTTAACTGACCTTATTGAATGCCCTGTTTTTGTTTTTGCTTAGGTGGTTTTTGATAAAGATGGTGTTCTCGAACAAATTTGCAGTGGAAAAGGATACATTGACATGTCAACTGTTGATGCTGACACGTCTTTAAAGATCAGCGAGGTTAAATTGGATGCCACTAATACTGCTTCATTTTCCTTGTTTAATTGTCCTGCTTTCTTTTTACTGTAATTATACTTCTGCCAAAAAATGTGGCGGTTGTAGATACTTGTATTAGAATCTGTAGCTCAACATTTTTAACTTTCTAAAATGCATCCACAAGCCAAAAGGATATCTGCTCTTTCATATCCAAGATGATATCAGTTAAATTAAGGAGAGAGTTACATTTAGACGAAGTACTGTTCCTAAACATAAATTTTTTGACACCATGCATTTAACTTTCTTTTAAAATAAAGCGGTTGTAAATACTTATATTAAAATTTGTGACTCTTAACATTTTTAAGTTTCTAAAATGCTTCCACAAGGCAAAAGGATATTTGCTCTTTCGTATCCAAGGTGTTAGCAGTTAAACTAAGGAAAGTGGCATATTTAGACGAATTACTGTTCCTAAACATAAAATTTTTGGTCCTATGCATTTAACTTTCCTTGTAGACAAGAAGGAAAGAAAGAATCAGCTTCCTCCTATCAAACATGTGATAATAGATGGGTTGATAGTTCTCACGATACCATATATATGGAGCTTTTTGATCATCAGTGGTGTCCTCTTTTGTTGTTGATGAGCTGTTTGCTGAAGATCAGCAATGTTTGAACTATAATAAGCATTTGGAATTGATTTTACAACACTTGATGAAATTTTTCTTCAAATTTTTTTATCACAGAAGTTTGCACAAAAAATTGATGTTTGGTAAGAATTAAAAAAGAAAGAAAGAAAATGGAATCGTTATATGTGGAACTGATACTTGAATGATTCTGATATATACAGGCAATCACCTCAAAAGGTGGTTCTTTCCTTGAAGCTCCAGTTTCAGGTAGCAAAAAGCCTGCTGAAGATGGTCAACTGGTAATTCTTGCTGCTGGGGTGAAGGTAAATTTACTTTCAGTTTTGCAGATGCAGTTTGTAGGATTAGTATTTATAGGCTTGCTATGTTGCCTTTTGTTTTCTTCTCTTATACTCTTCCTTTTTGGTTGAAATACGTGTTGAGAAACTAAAGGAAGAACAATCATCAAAATGACCAGGTGAGCATGGGATAAGGCCTAAATTTGTTGCCCAGGCAGTAGCTCCAAGCCTCCAAGTGTACATCCATTAATGACAAGCTTATGGATCTTAAATAATAGTTTTACACATCTGCTATCCTAAATTTTTCAATCACTTATTTATGACGAGCTTGGTCAAAATATGAGTTAGAGCATGGAGTGCCTGGTCCAAGATTACCCAGAATCCTGTCACCTAGTTGAAAGGAAACAATATGCTCAATCATGCCTAACCACTTGCCTAGGCATTAATTCAGCGCCACTAGGAGGGAGCTAAAATTCTAAACTTGAATCATTGTGGTGGGCAAAATTATGTTTAAGTTGATTTTTTAACATAAATATACATGCTGGCATGCTGACATTAGGACACTCACAGTCATTGCTATCAAGTCTTTTGTTCTATGCAGGCTGCAAACATTCTATGTTATTATCATGTTCACTTATTTGTAATTGCAGGCACTCTATGAGGAAGCACTCCCTGCTTTTGGTGTCATGGGGAAGAAGCCATTTTTCCTTGGGCATGTTGGAAATGGAGCAAAAACGAAACTTGTTGTGAACATGATAATGGGGAGGTACTACTTAATTTTTGCACAAAGGATATTTCTGAATTAGAGTGTTTTCTTCAGCATTTTCCACTTTCCAGAGCAACAATTTCAGAATGTAGATTGTGACAACTGAACATTGCTATTTTGTTTGGGTAGATTAAAATTAAATAATGATATTATGTGGGGGATTTTTCCAATATACATTTGTAATCTATATCCTGAAATGTTAATAGCACTTGTATATATTGTTAAGTACATAAACAGATAATTATTGAATATCATACTACATAAACAGCAATTTGCATTGTCTCCTTGTGTTATTCACTTCATTTTCACACCCCGGGGCATCTCGTTGTCGTGGATAATAGAAAAGATATCTCAAGTAACTTGAATCTTCCACTGCAAAAGGCTGACAGAAGAAAGTTTTGGTGGGCAAATTTTTTATTTTTTTACAATGTCCTTAAGTTGGAAAGATTAAAATATTATATTTTCTGTCATCTGAAGTCGGAAGGAATCCCCTTAGGCCATCTGTGCCCCTCTGCTTTCCAGTATCTACTATTTTACATTCTTCTATACTATGCTAATCTGACATGTAATCTAGTTTGTTTGTGTGAGAGAATAAATAATTATGAAGTTCTCTGTGGTTCTAGAGAAGTGATATGCTTATTGCAAGTCAATATAACATTGTCAAGATGTTTAAAATTTTCACCGCGTGGTCATGGGCTATGTTGGTTAAATTGTAATAGTGGTTGAATTCTTTGCAGTATGATGACTGCATTTTCAGAGGTACTTGTACTGGCTGACAGAAGTGGATTGAACCCTCATACTTTTCTGGATGTGTTGGTGAGATGGCATGCAAGAATCTTTGTTTAGACGTCTATTTGTGTTGAGCAACTCTTGATATGTTGCTTTCTTGCAGGACCTATGTGGAATTGCTAATCCAATGTTCAGGATGAAAGGACCCACCATGATTCAGGGCAGTTACTCTCCAGCATTTCCTCTGAAACACCAGCAGAAGGATATGAGATTGGCTCTTGCCCTTGGGGATGAGAAAGGGATATCAATGCCAGTGGCAGCTGCTGCCAATGAGGTAAGACCTTTCCTTCACCTCTGTATCTGTATCCAAATGTTATGCTGACTGTGAAAAAGGAAAGACAACCGCCAACGGGCCAGTGGCCCAGCGGTACCAAGCCCCTACTTCTCAAAGGGAGGTCAGGGGTTCAAGCCTCAGTGGAGGCATGGGTGTGTGAATACCAACTAAGGAAAAAAAAAATGGAAAGACAACCCAAGGTCTATTATGTATCCTTAAAATTGATCAAGAAAAAGCTTTAATGCCTAAAGCAGCGGTGAAAACTTTTTACCCTACCTGAACCCATCTTGTTTAGAATGGGTTAACCTGAATTTGTTTGTCTCGATGATTTAGTGGGTTTATAAAATAACTGCAAAACTAACTCTTGAATCCGGCTGGTTTTAAGAGGATTTGGCTTAACCACAGCTGTTAACTATGAAAGGGTTACCATAGCTCTTTGATGATTTAATTCACTCACTCGTTCTTCATGCAGGCATTCAAGAAAGCCATAAGCATGGGTTTGGGCGACCTTGATTTTTCAGCTGTGCACGAGGCCGTGAAGGTTCCTGAACATTAATCCTGGTTCGACGCATATAGATTAAAAAATATATGGACGTTAACAGAGTTCTGACTATGCAAATGTTAAAGTGGGTGAATTTTGGCTGAATGGTAGAACCGTACAAGAAGCTAGGGCAACATCAACATGTGTCAGAGGCTACTCCAATTTTCTCATTACGAAACTCTCCAGCTCGAGAGTTAAATTTAGCTAGACCATGATTTTCTTTCACTATTGTACAATTTTAAATGATTTAAAAATTAGTTTTTACAATTTTTAGTTAAATATGTGTTCAATAAAAACATGGAAGAAGGGGAGGAAAAATTTCAGATGATGATGGAATTAGAAATTTGGATAGAAAGTGGAATGGAAATTTTAGAATGAATCTTTTCAAATTGGTTGGAGGAGTCTAATAATACTTTATAAGAAAATGTCCACTATTAAATTGCTCCTCCAATCAATAATATGAGGAAATAAAGTACCATTGTTAATAATAATAATAATAATATAAGTAAGCAAGTAATAATTTTAGGGCCTTACAAAAGGGGATAGTTACCGAATAATAAATAAAGAAATAATAAATATTAATAAATCAACAACAATTCCATGAATCATATAAAATTTGAGATTTGTCAATAATCCCATTATAATCTTTCACATATTCTCTCTTCCAAAAAAGCAATTTTCGGTTAGACCAAATATATATATATATGGTGTAGAGAGAGCTGCAAAAAGAGAGCAAGCACATAAAATTCTCTGTTCATGACATCATCCCTCATCTAACCTCCAATTCCATCCATTGCAATCCTTGCATGTTCCATTAGCAACTTTATACACATAATGTTAATGAGTTTCAGCATGGTGATCGGTCATTACTTGATCAAGAAAAATGGCATTGTTAAAGATGAAAATTTGGTCCACGTCATTACTAAAATTTGTTTTGATTCTTACATATTGCATGTAACTATTTATTTTATTTTTTTATAGTTTGATTCGAGACTTTCAATTAATACCATGAACAAGAGAAGAGAGAGAGTTTAATCACAAGAGAGCAAAGAGAGAATAAATCACAATACATAAAAAGGACCGTGGAATAACTTTCATATTTTATCAAAACGGCATTTTGATCATTAGATTTATTACTTTAAAGAGTTAGAGCACAAAAAGATAGAGAAACAATATTTGCATTCCTTTTTTATAAAAGCATTCAAATTTCAAAATAAATGAATTTATTATTTCTAACTTTGCTAATTCATAAATAATAGAATCCGGTAAAATATGAATATTTATGTCATTTATATTAGAGAAAAGACAAGAAAATAAAGATAAACTGTGAATATCAACCCTGTTGATCAAAATAAATTTATAAACTTAAAAATATTTATATTCGGCAATATTATTAACTTAACATGATTTATACTCAATACTTATGTTTAAGTCTTCACTTATTATTTATTGGCATTAATGAACATAATTATAATTATAATAATATATATGTATCTATATATAGAAATCTTACAAGATAATGAGGTGATTAAATCTGAATCAGAATTGAAGTATTGGAGTTCAAAAGCAAGATTTGACTGGACACTTGGAGAGGATCACGGTTGCACGTACTTGACCCCTCTTTTTGTTTTTTTAGCCCAACCCAGAACCCCAACTGCCTGATTTATAGACCATTTCATATTGGGCCAGTCCTCAAAGGAAAAGGACAACATTACGCCCCAATGAGAGGGGCTAGGGATGGTTCGGGCCTGCCCTTAGCCCTTTGGAAAACTTCTCCAGTGGATATATTAACTTGGTAAACTCCACCTTGATTAGAAAATCTTTTTAGAATAAATTATACCGACACTCTTAAATCATATTTTACCTAAATAAAAATTTGATTTTAACTTTCACTCATCCCCTAAATTGTTATTTGAACTCTGACACGTGTGAATTGACTTATTTATTTTCATTTTTTTTGATATAATTTAATATTTTCTTTGTCTCAAAATAAATATTATGTTTATTATTATTTTTTTTAATAATATATTTCATATTTTTTTATACATATTTTTTGAATTTAAAATTTAAAATTTAAATATTCAAAATTTAAAAAGGCAAATTAGTAACTTTTTAAAAAACAATATATATCAAATTTCTATTAATTAAAATGGCAAAAAAAACCTTTATGTAATACTAATATTCCAAACCACTCGTTCTCTTTCTCTGTCTCTTTCCTCTATCTACAACATAATAATAATAATAATAAAAATAATAATAATAAGTAGCAGCTGCAGCACATCACCATCACGCCCCTTTCCACTGTCGTTCAAGTCACCATCGCCATCACAAGATGGTCGAAGGTTCTTATTAGCCACCGGCGAAACCCGGAAAGTTGTTCATCGTGAAAAATCACTGAGCAAATCACACACTCCCTCTCCCCGTCAAAGTTCCAAAACACCTTCCAAACAATCACCACACCACCACCACACCACAGAACGATCCGCTGATCATCGAAGCAATTTTCGGCAGTGGCAGCGCCAGTGACAACAATTTGCAACAACGATGACGATCTACAGCAGTGGCGACAGTTTGCGTCAACGACGACGATCTGCGACACGGCGGCTACGAGGATGATCGTTCCACAATCGGCGACAACAACGTATGGTTTCCGATGCTCTGCTCCATATCTACGGCTTAGCTGCGTTCGCGACGGTAGTATTGGCGTTGGGATCAACGGTCATTATTCTTTAGAGATTTGAAATCGACGAGATATTTCTAGCGATCGAGAAATACCGAAGATAGGGATGGGGGTGCTGCGGTGGAAGCAATTCGTTCTTTGCCGTCTGGTTGTCTTCATCCCTATCGATATCGTCGCCGTTTTCCTCTGTTCCCCGATCAGTTTATTGATCTGTGTCTGAGCTCCGTTTTGGACGATTGCTTCAAGTAAAGGGATGATGACAGAAGGAGATGGGCTCCCTGTCGACGACGGTTAAGGCGTTAGTTGTTGGCAATGACGAGCTGTAGGCTTAGTTTGGGAACGTACAGTGAGATGGATTGGCTTTTAGTTGGGCTTTGCGGCTTTGGGTTTTGTTTTGGGTGGGAGTTGTGGTGATAGAGGTGTTGGGTGGGGCAGTGGTAATAGAGGTTTTAGGTGGTGGCAGTGGCGGGTGGCGGTGGTGATGGAGGTGTAGGGTGGGGTAGCCGGTGATGGATGTGTAGCAAGGGCGGATCCAGGATTTGGCTGTTGGGTGGACTAAAATTAAACATAAATTTTTGTTAAGCAAATTTTTTAATAACATAATCTAGATAAATATTTGAATTCAAATATTACAAAATATATATATAAGTTGTGCTCCACAAGTCTTTAAATACTCAAATTTTTTGATAATAGATTCCAAGTCAAATTTTTAAACAAGATAATTCATTTCTCATCGTGCTATGTTTTAACACTTTTCATATTTGGATTTTTTTGGTTTTAAAGATTTAATTTTTGTAACTTTTGTTTGGGGTTTTATTTTATAATTTTTTTTTGATTTTAAAGATTGAATTATTGAAATTTTTGTTTAAGGTTTTATTTTATAAATTAATTTGAAATTTTAACACTTACCCATTTATATTTGTTTTATCTAAATTGTAGTAAGTTAGCAACTTTTGATTTGTGAATTATTGGATTTAGATGATTTCTTTTATACTAATACTCCTTGTCTGCTAGAGATCAAAATCATCAAATTTTCGTAGTTTATAATGCCATAGATTTTTTTGTTTGTTTGTTGAATACTTTCTAAATAAAAACAGGAGCTGTGCGTATTTTTCATGATGATTTAAAAGTGTTGAAATTATAAATTTATGCTATATATATAATTTCATAACTGCCTTTACAACAATTTTATCTCAAAATATGTTTTATTTCATATCCTAATACTCATCCTTAATAAGGCTTGTTAGGCTTGGGTCTTTATTTTAGTATTGTAGCTTAGTTGACTTGAGCTTATTCGGGTGGGCTAATATTAATAATAATAATTTTTTTTTTTGGACTGGGCTAAAAATACCCATAGTAATAAAATAAAATAAAATAAAAATTTTGGGGTGGGCTGGAGCCCAGCCCACCCCTACACTGGATCCACCAGTGATGTGTAGGATTGGGTAGTGGCGACGATGGAGGTGTAGGATTAGGCAGTGGTGATGTGTAGTGGCGATGGAGTTATATGTTGGGGTAGTTTTGTCAAAACAATATTCAAACAACCTTCCCTAAGTCAATAACGGGTCAAATGGGTAGTACAGTCATTTAACACCTCAAAGTACTCTGACCCTATCAAAAATTGATATTTTTTAATATTTAAGTTGTAAGTAAAATACTAAACCACTTTTTCAAATATGAGTAAAAATTAAAAACAAAATGTTCATATAAGTAAAATATAATCCAACCTCAAAGAGTATATGTATAATTTACCCTTTTTTTTTATCTTTTGAGTAAGACACCATTTTCCTCTCTTTGGGGGTCAAATTAACCCACTAAAACCCTTTTCTAGAAAAAGTGATGTATATAAATTAATTTTTAAAATCCAAAAAGTGAATCATTCACTAAATTTGAAGGATGTCAACCTACTTTTGTATAAATAAGAATATAGATAGATCATAATGATATCATTGTTTTTTTAAAACCCTTTATTATAGAAGTTTTATTATTATTATTTATATGACAAAGTATACGAATTATTTGTCCAAAGAAAAAAAATTCAAAACACTATAATTTTTCTTTGGTTCTTACAAAAAGCACATATGTATCCATTTAAATTTAAGTGGGTAGTAAAATACCAAGCTCCATTAATCTCACAAAATGAAATTGTTACAAGAGGTGTCAACATTAATTTTTAAAACAAACGGAGTTGTTAATGTGATATTAGAAATCCTGAAAGAAAGTTTGAAATTTATCAAATCATTTTAAGTAGTACTTTGATGGATTCATATTTTATATAATATAATTATATAATGCAATTATTTTTTACCTTATGAATAAAAGTTAGTCAATTATCGTAGATAAATATCTAACTAACATAATCTTCATATACAATAGATCTATATGTTTATAAATTGGAAGAAAAAAAATAAATTTGTAGTAGTTGTTTTGGGAAGTTTAAATCTTGTCTAATGCGCGTGTGCGTACCCGATTTTTCCCTATGCGCCCCCACGATAGAGGAAGACAAAAAAAACAAAAAAAACAGGAGAAGGCCCAATCAAAAGAGTGGAAGATTAGAAACGCTGACGTGGCAGAAAACCCATCGCGTCTGTCCACACACACCCATCTGTCCAGCAGATAATACTAGGTAAAGTAACGCAATGCGCACATATTTATGCTGATTTAATAACAGCATTTTGTTTATTATTGTACTAATATATTAATGACAATGATGATCTATAGATATAAAGAATTGTGTATTTAAATAAGAAGAAATCACTGTCATTGCGTTGTTGGATTGCAATGCTTTGTCATTGTGATTTGTGGGTGAAAAGGGCACTATGGTTATTTTATTCGTAGAGTGTGTCGATACACAGAAGATTTAAAGCAGTGGAGAGGGAGAGCATTTGCCCACACTGAAACTGAAGAAAAATAGAAATGGAAGAAATTGGGTTTTTAGGGCTAGGAATCATGGGGAAGGCCATGTCCATGAACTTACTCCGCCATGGCTTTAAGGTCACTGTATGGAACCGGACTCTTTCTAGGGTATACCCTCTCTCTCTCTCTATATATGTATATGTATGTATGTTTGCTGTGTGGATGATGAGTTATGTTTTGCCGTTTGATGTTACTTGACCATTATCTTTAATAGAACCTTTTGTTAAGGTGTCTGGTTGCTTGGAATTGATGTGCTTCCTTATTCTGCTGATGTATGTATAGATACAAACATTATTAGCATGAAAGACAAAATTTGTGGTGATGATTTTTAACGTGACTCATCCCAATCTAATTATGGTAGCCCTTCAAAGGTAGGATTCTTCAGTGGTTCATCATTGAGTACTTCCAAAACTTCCAATATAATATGAGCTGAACTTAATTTTGGCTCCCAAATTATGTGCACTAAGTTGTGGTTACCCTTGTTGAGTTGTTTCCCTCATGTTCTGAAGATTTTAGGGCATCTGCATATACTTCAAAATAAACAGTATATAGCTTAAATTCTGAATATCTAACTATTCTTCCAAGTTACACTGGCCAGCAATTTGGAATGGAGGAGTTACCTATTCAATTATTTTAAAAAAGGAATTGATAGCTATATTCTACCTACAGTTTCTTGATAGCCTATTTTGTTGAAAGTTCTTACCTTGATGTTCTTCCCCGAGAGGGAAATAAATTCTTCCACATACTTGTTAATTTGGTAACATGCCTGTAACCAATAACATTATAATTTTCTAAACCTTTGTCAGCAGAAGCATCCTCGTGCTTAGTTTCAAGTTTTCTTGTATGAGTTTTAACTTAATATTATAGATCATAAACGCTAACAAATAAAAAAGAAATGTTTGAACTGATTCATTGAGAAATATAAAAAAGAAAACAAAAGACAATTTTCAAAATTTGTAAACATCTACGTACCTCAGTCATAGAGGAATGATGAATGCATTGGAGATAAAAATTGGAAAAATTCAACAAGATTTCACTGAAGACCAAGAAATGCACCAATGAGGAAGACTGGCACGTATCACATTGAGAGTAATGTTAGGCAAGGGAAATTACTAAAACTAAAATGGGTTGAGATAATAAAAGGAAAATATGATAGCATGTGGTTCTACTGAATTTGTAGCATTAAATAGACTGAATGGTTAAGCAGGCTGTCATGTAATTGAACCCAAACTGTTGAATCCAGGCTTTGTTGAGTTTAGGTTGGACGCTGTTTCTTTAATTTGAGACATGGCACCTAAAATACCTTCCCCATGAAAATCAGTCCCCTACGTGAAGTATACAGAAAACAAGGATACAGTTCTCAATTTAATCAAACTACATACCCTCAATAGTGACCCCCAACTTCGAACTTAATTGAATTCCTGAAGGAAACTGCAATGTTTTTATTTTATTTTTCTATAAATTCAAGTAAGTAAATAATTAATTGTCTACGCGACATATTAGAAGTTCAATACTCTTTTGGAAATCAACTATCACAGGTTTGTTGCTTATAATTATTTGTATGAACCAACATTTAAACAAGTTGATTATGATTTTCCCTGCATTTGGTCTCTATTTAACCGTTTTGACATACTTTGGCTGGAGTCTCTCTGTGCACGTGTGTGGTGCGCACACATTATTCTGCCAGTTTCAATTCTCTAATATCAATTGACAACTTTTAACTCCTTTTCCTCCACAGTAACAACAATATTTTCTAATTAGAGCTGATTCTGTTAGATGTCTAAAGTTCTCTTAAATAAGTCAGTCCATAAAATGAATGCCGGTTGCCCTCATTTTACTTTCTTCCTTGCCACTTTTGGGAATCTGTGCTCAAATTTAGTGAGAGTGAAGTGTGAACAGAGTTGAACTGCTTTTGAAAACTGACACTAAAAAAACATTGATAAAGAAATGATAAACACACATTGACCAATTGGTAGTGTGCAGCTTTTGTGATTCTTGTCCAACTAAAATTTTTAATCTTACTTTTGAAGCTTATTAGCTTAGCAAATAATTTTCTGCAACCATGATGCATGTCACATGTGCACTTTGATCTATGGTTTTTGATTTAGAGGGTTGAAGTCTGATCAACTTAATCAAGCAATTGGAATTCTTTTTTCTGTTCTTGTCACATTTGAAGCAAAGCCTGTTGTACTCAAACCTTCTTCTGATTTCAGTGTGATGAGCTGGTGGAGCATGGAGCTTCAGTAGCAGAAACCCCTGCAGCAGTAGTTAAGAAGTGCAAATATACCATTGCGATATTGTCTGATCCTTCTGCAGCTCTTTCGGTTAGTAAATCAGGTTGGTGTTTCTAAAATAAACATTTTAACTGACCTTATTGAATGCCCTGTTTTTTGTTTTTGCTTAGGTGGTTTTTGATAAAGATGGTGTTCTTGAGCAAATTTGCAGTGGAAAAGGTTACATTGACATGTCAACTGTTGATGCTGACACGTCTTCAAAGATCAACGAGGTTTAATTGCATGCCATTAATACTGCTTCATTTTCCTTGTTTAATTGTCCTGCTTTCTTTTCACTGCAATTATACTTCTGCCATAAAATGTGGCGGTTGTCGATACTTTTATTAGAATCTGTAGCTCGACATTTTTAACTTTCTAAAATGCATCCACAAGCCAAAAGGATATCCTCTCTGTCATATCCAAGATGATATCAGTTAAACTAAGGAGAGAGTTACATTTAGACGATACTGTTCCTAAACATAAAATTTTTGGCACCATGCATTTAACTTTCTTTTAAAATAATGCGGTTGTAAATACTTGTATTAAAATTTGTGGTTCTAACATTTTTAAGTTTCTAAAATGCATCCACAAGGCAAAAGGATATTTGCTCTTTCATATCCAAGTTGTTATCAGTTAAACTAAGGAAAGTGGCATATTTAGACGAATTACTGTTCCTAAACATAAAATTTTTGGTCCCATGCATTTAACTTTCCTTGCAGACAAGAAGGAAAAAAAGAATCAGCTTCCTCCTCTCAAACATGTGATAATAGATGGGTTGATAGTTCTCACAATACCATATATATTGAGCTTTTTGATCATCAGTGTTGTCCTCTTTTGTTGTTGATGAGCTGTTTGCTGAAGATCAGCAATGTTTGAAATATCAGAAGCATTTGGAATTGATTTTACAACACTTGATGGAATTTTTCTTCAATTTTTTTTATCGCAGAAGTTTGCACAAAAAATTGATGTTTGGTAAGAATAAAAAAAGAAAGAAAGAAAAAGGAATCGTTATATGTGGAACTGATACTTGAATGATTCTGATATATACAGGCAATCACATCAAAAGGTGGTTCTTTCCTTGAAGCTCCAGTTTCAGGTAGCAAAAAGCCTGCTGAAGATGGTCAACTGGTAATTCTTGCTGCTGGGGTGAAGGTAAATTTACTTTCAGTTTTACAGATGCAGTTTGTAGGATTAGTATTTATAGGCTTGCTACGTTGCCTTTTGTTTTCTTCTCTTATACTCTTCCTTTTTGGTTGAAATACATGTTGAGAAACTAAAGGAAGAACAATCGTCAAAATGACCAGGTGAGCATGGGATAAGGCCTAAATTTGTTGCCCAGGCAGTAGCTCCAAGTGTACATCCATTAATGACAAGCTTATGGATCTTAAATAAGCATAGTTTTACACATTTGCTCCAAGTGTAGCTCCAAGTGTACATCCACTAATAACAAGCTTATGGATCTAAATAAGCATAGTTTTACACATTTGCTATCCTAAATTTTTCAATCACTTATTTATGACGAGCTTGGTCAAAAGATGAGTTAAAGCATGGAGTGCCTGGTTCAATATTGCCCAGAATCCTGTCACCTAGTTGAAAGGAAAAAGTATGCTCAATCATGCGTAACCACTTGCCTAGGCATGAATTCAGTGACACAAGGATGGAGCTAAAATTCTAAACTTGAATCATTGTGGTGGGCAAAACTATGTTTAAGTTGATTTTTTAACATAACTATACATGTGGGCATGCTCACATTCTCACAGCCATTGCTATCAAGTCTTTTGTTCTATGCAGGCTGCAAACATTCTATGTTATTATCATGTCCACTTATTTGTAATTGCAGGCACTCTACGAGGAAGCACTTCCTGCTTTTGACGTCATGGGGAAGAAGTCATTTTTCCTTGGCCATGTTGGAAATGGAGCAAAAATGAAACTTGTTGTGAACAAGATAATGGGGAGGTACTACTTCATTTTTGCACAAAGGATATTTCTGAATTAGAGTGTTTTCTTCAGCATTTTCCACTTTCCAGAGCAACTGTTTCAGAATGTAGATTGTGACAACTGAACATTGCTATTTTGTTTGGGTAGATTAAAATTAAATAATGATATTATGTGGGGGATTTTTCCCATATACATTTATAATCTATATCCTGAAATGTTAATAGCACTTGTATATATTGTTAAGTACATAAACAGATAATTATTGAATATCATACTACATAAACAGCAATTTGCATTGTCTCCTTGTGTTATTCACTTCATTTTCACACCCCGGGGCATCTCGTTGTCGTGGATAATAGAAAAGATATCTCAAGTAACTTGAATCTTCCACTGCAAAAGGCTGACAATTTTTTTTTTTTGTTACAATCTTCCTTAAGTTGGAAAGCTTAAAATATTCTATTTTCTGTCATCTGAAGTCGGAAGGAATCCCCTTCGGCCATCTGCGCCTCTCTGCTTTCCAGTATCTACTATTTTACATCTATACTATACATGTAATCTAGTCTGTTTGTGTGAGAGAATAAATAATTATGAAGTTCTCTGTGGTTTTAGAGAAGTGATATGCTTATTGCAAGTCAATATTACATTGTTGCGCTACTTTGTCAAGACGTTTAAAATTTTCACCGCATGGTCATGGGCTATGTTGGTTAAATTGTAATAGTGGTTGAATCCTTTGCAGTATGATGAATGCATTTTCAGAGGGACTTGTACTGGCTGACAGAAGTGGATTGAGCCCTAATACTCTTCTGGATGTGTTGGTGAGATGGCATGCAAGAATCTTTGTTTAGACGTCTATTTGTGTTGAGCTAACTCTTGATATGCCACTTTCTTGCAGGACCTAGGTGGAATTGCTAATCCAATGTTCAGGATGAAAGGACCCACCATGATTCAGGGCAGTTACTCTCCAGCATTTCCTCTGAAACACCAGCAGAAGGATATGAGATTGGCTCTTGCCCTCGGGGATGAGAAAGCGGTATCAATGCCAGTGGCAGCTGCTGCCAATGAGGTAAGACCTTTCCTTCACCTCTGTATCTGTATCCAAATGTTATGCTGACTGTGAAAAAGGAAAGACAACCACCAACGGGCCAGTGGCCCAGCAGCGGTACCAAGCCCCTACTTCTCAAAGGGAGGTTAGGGGTTTAAGCCTCGGTGGAGGTATGGGTGTGCGAGTACCAACTAAGAAAAAAAAAAAGGAAAGACAACCCAAGGTCTATTATGTATCCTTAAAATTGATCAAGAAAAGCTTTAACCCCTGAAGCAGGGGTGAAAACTTTTTACCCAACCTGAACCCATCTGGTTTAGAATGGGTTAACCTGAATTTGTTTGTCTCGATGATTCAATGGGTTTATAAAATAACTGCAGAACTCAACTCTCGAATATGGCTGGTTTTAAGAGGATTTGGCTTTAACCACAGCTGTTAACTATGAAAGGGTTACCATAGCTCTTTGGTGATTGAATTCACTCACTCATTCTTCATGCAGGCATTCAAGAAAGCCATAAGCATGGGTTTGGGGGACCTTGATTTTTCGGCTGTGCACGAGACCGTGAAGGTTCCTGAACATTAATCCTGGTTTGACGCATATAGATTAAAACGTGAAGCATGATTGCTGGCATAAAATTTCCTTGGTGATTATGGAAGCCAAAGCTTCGTGTTCCAGCTAATAAATAGTACTGTGTGATGATTTGCTTCTAATGAATTGTTCATTGTAAGGGCATGAATATTTCACTTACCCAAGATCTTGTGAAATAGGAACTTTTCAACGGGTCGAACCAGTAAAAATTGCAGTAACAAATATGAAATGAATCACATGCTTTGTTCAAGTTTCGGTTGCAAACCGTAGTGTGTGTGTGAAACCAACATAAGAGATACAAATGCAGGCAGTCCTTGGTTTACCTCTGTGGGTTTGGACAAGCCTGTGCAGAAATCCAACTGACCTCTGTGGGTTTGGACAAGCCTGTGCAGAACTGTCGATGGATTGAAGTTTGTTGCTATTTATTTATTTATTTATTTTTCTATAAAAAAGAAAAATGAAAACAAGTAATATGCTTATTAAAAAAAAAATGGAAGTTATGTTTAGTGGGTGAGTTTGGCTGAATGGTAGGACCGTACAAGAAGCTAGGGCAACATCAACATGTGTCAGGCTACTCCAATTTTCTCATCACTAAACTATCCAGCTCGAGCATTAAATTTATCTAGTCCAAGATTTTCTTTCACTATTGTATAATTTTTTAATTATTTTAAATGATTTAAAAATTAATTTTTACAATTATTAGTTAAATATGTGTTCAAAAAAAACGTGGAAGAAGGGGAGGAAAAAGGATAGAATTAGGAATCAATTACTCACACATCCTACCTCTACCGAGGTTGGAAACCCTGACTTTCCTTTTGGGGAGAAAGGGATAATACCGCTAGGCTAATTGGTCTTTTGGTTAGAATTAAAATTTTTGATAGAAAGTGAAATGAAAATTTCCGCCAGGCTAATTGGTCTTTTGGTTAGAATTAAAATTTTTAATAGAAAGTGAAATGAAAATTTTGGAATGAATCTTTTCATGTTGGTAGGAGGAGTCCAATAGTATAAGAAAAGACCCACTATTAAATTGCTCCTCCAGTCAATAATATGAGGAAATAAAGAAGTGTAGAATTGTTAATAATAATAATAATAATATAAGCAAGCAAGTAATAATTTTAGTGCCTTACTAATACAAAGAAATAGTTACAATTAGTTAGAGTCTAATAATATAAATAATAATTATAGGGCCTTACTAATACAAAGAAATAATTTTTCTAAAAGAGTTTAATAAAATAAGAAAACAATAATTTTGGGACCTTCCTATTGGCTTGGAGATCTAATAGGAGAAAATAAAAATGTTAGGAAGTTGAAATAATAATTTTAGTACCTGAAATAATAATTTTAAGAAGTCCAACAATTAGGAAGCTTCCTATTGATTAGGGCTATGCGATGACTAAGTCGGGTAAGACTCAGCCGACTCTACCAAATATATTTATAAAAAGAAAAAGGAGTTGATATTGACACTCTACTACTCTAGCACTCCGACAATATTTATTAGTGAATTACCATCAAATATAAAAAATATGGTGAAAAAGTATGTTTTACCCTTGACAACATTACTATCAACATTTATTGAAAAAGTATGTTTTACACTTGACAAACTCATTTATAGTCTGTTAACTGGAGTATTATTCTTTTTTTCTTTTTTTTTTTCATATTATTTATAAACATGCTACTAAAAATATACATAATAATGCATTGAAAAAAAACATTATTACAATTATTTTAGTATCATAATGTAGTGCAATATATAATTCTGGTTGATAATGAAGTTTGGAGTTTAAAATTTCGTCATTTTAAAAGAAAATAAAAAAATAAAAAATAATCAATTTGGGTTTTTTATTTTTTATTTTTTTTAATCTTTGTTCGCTGGTCTACTCTACACTTTTCTATTTGTCGATGTTCCACAACAATACTTTAGTTATATTCCATGATGAACATCATGTTTATTATATATTTATATAGGTTGAGGCCATGAAACAGCACTTAGATGCTATTCTTCCTTTTCTTGGCGCGGATAATATATATGAATGGTGCCCTTAATGATGCATAAAATTAATTACATTTACATCCAAACACCTTTTCTACCAATTTCCTATTCTCCTTACTTGACATTTTTTCTATAAAAATAACTAGATGTAACAAATTCGCTAAAATTAATTTTTTATTTTAAAATATAATAAATAATAATTACAATTAAGACAGAACCCATAAGCAAAATAAAAAGGTTAATTTAACAAATAAATAAATAAACATCCAAGGAAAACTTAATTACTAAAATGTAAACACTCAGAAGGAGCCCCACCAAAAAATAGTTTAGGCAAAAGTAATTATAAATATTTTTACTGTTCCCTAAGTACATTCTGAAATTTACTAAATAACCCTTGCTTCTTTTTTCAGCTCATATCTTTACTTTACCAGCTAATCTAAGAACCATTACTAAGGTTGCTTCACGCCCACAAACTAAGACCAAATCGGTGAAGCTACAGATACCCAACATTGGAGACGTCCCAACATTGGCCTTCACCCCGGCAAAGACAAACCCAACATTGAGCTCCATTAATTCCGGTGAGCTCTGACCAACAAAACTCCATTGATTTTTATGAGTTCTGAGCAAACAATGACCAAACTTTAGTGGCTAAACCGAACGATTTCAATCTCCCAACCCGTGGAATTACGACGAACAAAATGGCAAAGAGGTACAACCGTCCAACCAGATAGCTCCATTGAAGACCCATTTTGAGAGTTACTTCTTGTATTATATATTTTTTGAAAAAAAAAAATCTCCTACTAATTGCACTCGGTCTCTGAATTGGTATGTATTACAAATTACACTTGTATGCAGTATTATGTCGGAGGTTATGATCGATTTATGCATATATCAACTTATTTCCTTCAAAATTTTAGAAATTATATAATCCCAAAATATAACGTTTATTCATTGAAATAAATTAACCAAATTCATTTTCATTTTGTAAACCTTCCCTGCCTGGAATTGCAGCAGGAATATATATATATATATATATATATATATATATATTCTTATGGGGGAAAGGTAATTTGCTTCCAAGTTGAAGCATAGGTTCTTATGTAAATTGATTATTAGTATATGTAAATTGTCAGCATATTTTACAATTTTGGACATGGCATGCATGTGCAGTTAATAACTTAATTATAATAAATAAACAAATAATCATGCTAAACATGTAAATTTTATAGTAAGTTTAACAATTAAGTAATTGCATTCAAACTGAAATACCTCTTCCACCAAATATTACGATTTGAAAAAAAAAAAAAAAAAACTCATGCCTTGAAATACCTCTCCTGCCAAATATTTTTTATATTTGATAGTAAATTACCTCTTCCAATAATAAGATTTTAAACCTTCCCTGCCTGGAATTGCAGCAGAATTTGGCGATGGCAACAAATGTTCATTGTGTAATTGTTATATATATATATATATATATATATTTTCTTCTTTCTCATAAGGCAAGAAGAATGAATAAATTAGCGGGAACAAAGCAAAGCAACCTTTACAACTCTACCTTCCTCATCTCCAAAGACAATTTATAAGCTGATTTAACGGATAACAACCGTTACGTTCCCAACCATGGTTTATCTTCCTGCCCTGTTATACTAGTAATTAGGAATTTGATTAATTCTGTTTACATCCAATGCATTAAACGTGTGTCTCAGCAAATCAAAATTACAGGATTTTGATTTTCTGATTGATAATATCTACTACTCTAAAAACTACTTCCGATGCAATACGTTTGGTAGTGTACACCTTTTAAGTTGATCTTGTTTGGAATCCAACAATCCTCCCAACAAAACACCCGTTTTTTATCATTGATTCTCCACACTAACAGAAATCTGTATAAATATCTAGCAAAAATCTAAAAATTATTTGAAGAAGTGGAGGCTTAATTTTTTCACACACACACACACACACACACACACACACATATATATAAACATCAGAAAGAATTAGAACTTCATATATGATTGAACCAAAATTCATCTAAAGTGAACGTTATAAATGGGCACCGTGTAATATATACAAGAGCTAGCAGAGCAAACATATATATGGTGTGAGGGAAGAGAGACAAAACTAGGGTTTGGGAGGTTTAGGGTTTCAATGGCTGAGTGTAGTAGTAGTAACAGAAGTAGGTCTTTGACGCTTGTGTTTTTTTCTTTAGTTTGAAACCCTTTTATAGATTTCACTTTTCAGATTCTTTTCACGGAATGCAGGAGATTCCTTGTCCTTGATTCGATTGAAAGGGAAACATAGTACTGCAGGGAAAACTTCAGCAATCTCCTCTTTGGATGGACATACGTAACAAAAAGATAAATAATTTTTAAACATGCATTTAGTTAACATGGAAAGTTATTTAAGAAAATTAGAAAAAAAAAATATTAATTAATTAGTTTGGATAGCATCAAATAAAACCAAAGTAATTATATATACTAAAATCACTGTTACATGTCTTCACACAAAATGGCTACAATTGGAGCAAAATGGAGATTAGGTCTCAATGGGTCTGAAATTGAAATTGAAATTGAAATCAAAATGAGCATCGTAGCAAAAAATTGAGGTCATACGAAAACAAAAATCTTCAAATGGCCGTCACTCGGCGACGCCTCAATCTCTCTCTATATTATATATGAATTTGCATTTCAGTTTCATTTGAGCGTTTCAGTTTTTTAATTGGTAAAGTTCATTTCCAAAATTAAAGAAAGGATTTCAAAAGGACATTTACAAATAATATTCTCTCTCTCTTTTTTATTATAGAAGAAAGTCTATCCATTTGAGACAACTTAATAGCTCATTTGTTAGTTTAAAGAGGGAAAAAAATAAATAAAAAAAAAGAACTTAAAAGTGCCGGTACTGATAATTGCTGACCGTAAAATGAAAAATTAGAGACTACTAAAAAATTTAGAGATTAGTTTTCAGTACATTTTCTTTATTCACTTAGCTTTTGAGAATAAAATTATATGGCCACTAGTTAATTTCGATCCAAACAAAATATAAATTCTATTGATTGAAATATGCTTATATTGCATTTGGAGCACTAAATTGACACCTTAAAATTGAATTTTGTGTTTTGAAAATACACTAAAACATCTATAATTCATAGAATCATAGCACAGGACCTAAGTCAGGAATATTTTCAAATGCTAATTCCCTTGGTAATTTTTAGAACGGAAAAACAAATTATTTAATTGATAAAAGAATTAGAGAATAGTCATCCTTCCATTCTTCATTCAATATATTACAAACCCACATCAACTATAAAATTTTCTATCAAAACACGTGCACTTGGGGTTCAATTTCACACACACTGTCAAATATTGATTCTCTTCAACTTTCTCTCAAAATCAGTTATCAAAGCATGAGATGTCTAATTCGAGTATAATATTTAAAGTTAGTTTATCTTTAACTTATTTAGTAGACGAAAAAAAAAAAAAAAAAAAAAAAAAAATTGCACTCTGGTCACATTTCTTTCCAAACTAAACGCCGCACCAGATCTTCGACATCTCTTAAGAACTGAGCAACATACTGAGTTTTTTTTTTTTTTGAATCATGATAATGAAAATTAACAGGAAAACCCCATTTAAGTCTTGGCGCATGGTCAGCACCATTTTGCACTGCATAGAGAGAAGAAAATCCCATTCAAGTTTACAAGCAACCAATTAACTACATTGATTGTAGATACAGCTGCTCAAAAATGAAAAGTCTCTTGAACCTGAGATCGTTGATTACTTCTTCTTTTGCAATCACCTCCTAGGCTTAGATTTGAATATATTCTCCTTGTAGAACTTAAGTTCTGCTATACTCTCCTTGATGTCGTCCATGGCTCTGTGCTTGTTTTCCTTCGAAGGAGCCTTTTTCTTATCTAGTGGAAAAGCAATGACATTGAACGAACACACGTAACAGATTTCTAAGTGTTAAGAAGCAGACTGAAAAAGCTGATATCAATTACAAGAAAATTACTGGATGTACTGAACAAATAAGAGCAGAATCTTTCACCTCTTGGATACCAACGGATGCATAGAGCCTTAATACTGCTAACATCAACTAGCACATGTGAGAAAAGAGCAGCTAAATCTGGCATATACTTCTGCGAAAAGGAAAACTTATCAGAATCTAGCAAATGCAACAATTAAATGTTGGTTGAATAAGAAGTCCTAAATCTACCAAGCACGTCGAATACTTTAGGCACATCATAGTTATAATAAAGTATTCTAGCTACGGAGGAGGTGTTCTGAGGCAATTGTAACATTAAACAAGAATAATGTACCCAAAAGTAGCATCATTTGTTCAAAATGCTTCTCAAGTTGCTTCTGAGCATATATGGTTAGTTATACTACCACTGATACTGATAGAACTTTTAATTGCCAAAAATAGATGGATAAGTGAGTGGCTCAAAGGAAGAAGATAGAAAAACAGGTGCAAGTAAAGCGTAATACCTTTCATGCTCAAATGCTTTTGTAAGATTTCGAGTGCAGATTCAAGGGTATCACCATTTAGCGGGATCCATTTTATTGTCGGTGCACATTTGATGACAAGATTTAGTTTTACCTTATTAAAAAGACACTAGATCAATGGTTTAACAATGAGCTCCATCCCATGGATTCCTAGATTTGCCGTCTAAAGTAGACTGCATGATGAGGAGTTAATACTTTTGCTTTCAATGGGATCGTAGTTTTTACTTTAATATCGTTTATTTAACCCCACCTCAGTACCACATTTTTGTTTCTTCTTTCTCAACTAATAAAGGGGCTCACTTATTTACCGAAAAAAATAATAACAATAATAAAGAGGGCTATTAAAAAGCCAACAACTTAAGTGATTCCCAAATTAGATGGCAGTAACTATTCTTTATTTATAATTGTGAATATAACAAAAACTGTATGCCTGCCTCCCGGGTGATGTAATAGTTCTGAATGTAGTTTACCATGGATTAAGGCTACATGTATACAACATAAACCCATTATCTTCTACAAGAATACATGTATATAATACTTTAATATAAATATATACCGTTTACAAAGTGCTGGTTTAATATGCATCTTTTTTCCCTCACCTTTAGAAATCGAAGATCCATATAAACTGAATTGCCTGCAAGAAGAGGAGTATGTGTCCTCCCATATCTCTTTACGAATTCAATAACCTACAATAAACTAAAACAAGTCAGTGAATGTTTATTAGAGGAACTAATTTGACTCCTAATTTCCAAGTAAAATGATAAGGAATACACTGAAAGGTTGTAGTAGTAAGTTGTAGAACATAATAACCATATGGCTAGACAAAGGGTGAATAAGCCTGGAAAAACAATGTGCATGCAGATATTTTGTTCAAGAATCAGCAATAACATAGACAGTATCAAAATAGAAAAGGAAACTACAAGAACCTGTAACAACATTTAGAGCATTTTAGTAGAACTATATTCCAGCCATCATAAGTTTGTTAACAAGAATAGAATTATTTCAAAAGGGCATTGAAAATGGCAAAGGCAAACAATATTTAGTTAATTAGTGTTCTACATACAAGATTCTCAGTAAGAGCCATAGGTACATTGACATGTCAATGTTAGTCTGGAATTCTCATTTTCTATAAAAGCTCCCCATTTATTGACTGAGCTTTCAGTTGTAAAAATTGCAGTTGATCAACCATAACAGCACAGGAAAGGTGATGGCTTTTTGATGTCATATGAGCTGTTTTACAGTGGATCACCTCATTTATTTTCATTCACTAATGCAGGTTTGCTTCATCTTATTTAAACTTCATCTGATAACAGCAGAAAAGGTTCAGGAGATCAATTCTTTTACTAGTGTTCTTTTGTGTAGTAATTGTGATCACAGTATCTGTGGTTCTTTGAGTAATATTAGAATTTTATGAAGAGTATCAGCGAAAATTAATAAAACGAATAAGGCTAGCTCAATGCACAAGTCTCCCACACTACATGGTCTAGGGAGGGTCAAATGTATGAACTCTTGCATCCGCATCTAGAGAGGCTGTTTCCCGTTTCAAGCTCGTGACCTCTAGGTCAAAATGGAGCAACCTTACCATTGCGCCAAGGCCCGCCTCTAATAAACTGAATAAGCTAAATCCATAAATTAGGAAAAGGATGAGGTAGGAAACTGGCAATGAGAGAAAATGAGAACTGGGGGAGGCTTGATCAATTGATGGTGGGGCAAGATCAATTGAGTTGGTAAAATGGCAAAAAAAAAAAAAAAAAAAAAAAAAAAAAAAACTAGAAACCTGGAATGCCGGGTGTCTAGCTTAGGAGGGGAGTCTTCCATGGAGGGTCTGTAAATAGAAGATGTGGGGGAAGGCTGTAGAGAGAGAGAGAGAGAGGAGAGAGATGGAAAAGAAGGAATAAGAAGAAGAAAAATGAGGTAGGGAACCATAACCTCCATTTGCTCATCCTTCCAAAAGGTTTGATGGCAGGCATCGAACTCAGAATCAACCAACTTTGGCTGGGGTTGCACAGTATTTGAAACAAAGATCTCAAAAAAGTTATCAAAAGAAGAATGAGTCTTTTTTTAGCAATAACAATATAACTAGCACGAGTCTAGTGCAATCTGAATTCTGTAGATCCTTTAAATTAAAGAATTAAATGGACAAGAGGAGCCTGAACCCATCCAGACAAAAGAAAAATCTCCTACTTTTGTTCGTAGGACTTGGACAATTGCGAACATGCTGAAGCATCAAGAATCATCACATCTTCTACGATTGTTACGAGAATTTTTTTTTTGATAAGTACGATTGTTACGAGAATTTAATCCATTTGCATAGGTTATGAACTTTAAGCCACTTAGGAAAAGCATGATACACGTAGGAATAAGTTTGGCAGAAAATATGCACCTCATACCTGCTTTTCAGCTTCCCGCTCAGTGATTGTACTTTGGAGCACCTTTTCTGTCAACCCTAGATAAAAATGAAAATATTAAGCCAGCATTACCCACACTAGCAGTAGTAAGAACATTGTTACAGGTATATTGGATATATCATCAACGTGAAAAAGCAATAACCCTAAAAGCATAAACCACTAACCACTTGCTCCATGATGACTCTCACACCATTCTCCCATTCTATCCAGACACTCCTTACTTTGATGGATAACCAAGTCAGGACCCTAAATATAGTAAAGCCATATTAACTTCAAAAGTTGAGGAGAATAGCATATTTAGAAGATACCATGTTTGATTTCACTAAACATGCAAGCTATCAAACACTAAGTGGAAGTATGACACAGATAAAGTTCAGTAATAAGTGTTCATTGTCAAAAAGATATAAATATTTTATAATAAATTTGCTAAAAATATATATAATGGAAGAAAAGAAATAAAGCACGATATTTCTTTTTCCCCTAGTTAATAAAGCATGAAACTTTCAAAAAGAAGAAACTGCAAATCCGGGGCTTTATATTTTGCACAACATTGTTCAAAAGAGGCATCAGAAGTTTACCTCAAAGGACGCTAAAACAAATATCATATGGCATAAATAGAGCATAAAGTCACTATATTTCAGAGAGCAACGCAACTAACTCAATGATAATCTTTACTTTTTTTTTTGGGGGGGGGGGGGGGGGGGGGGGGGTGGTTGTGGAGAGAAGCATAAATCGCAATTAAAGATACATGTTTTCTAAATTTCAGAATTCTTTAATTCAGTAAACTACCTTAACGTAATATCCTTGTATGTAAAATTCTAAGAAGGCATCAAACAGATTGGGGTTTCCATCTCAAAGCATGAATCACAATTAAAGATCAATTTTTTCTAAATTTCAGAATTCTTTAATTTAGTAAACTACCATAACGTAATATCCTTGTATATAACCCATATATGATCATGGAAAAGCAAACAACACCATCCAACTATGAGTTTCTTTTTAGTTTCCCTTTTTCTTATGGAAAAGCATTTATCATTCGAAAGTCGGAGGTGACATCTTTGGTGGGCCCCACGCCCCCACTCACATCACCCCATTCGGAGTTGTCCAACTTTCAGGTGTTCTATCATCGCTCTTTTCTTATTGGTATAGGGGACGTCTTTTTCTTTTTTCCTTTCTTTTTCTATTTTTTTATTTTTTTATTTTTTGGAAAAAAATGGGGTTGTAGTTGCTTCCTTAAACCAGAAAGGTAGTTCTCTTTAAATGATTGTAGGACATTCATAATTGTTTGCATTTTATAGTATTAACAGTTCCAACCAATAACTCTGGAGAATCAATGCCCAGAAAGATGGAATATATTTACCTCAACTGCCTTGGTCAAATTGCCATCCGTAATTACACAGGCAATTTCCAATATTCTATCAACTTCAACATCCAGGCCTGCACAGAAAGCAAAATAAAAAGAATGATCTCTGCAAAATACAATCAACCATCCAACATCAAATATGAAAGCGTAAAGAGTAGGCCGCATGCAGATTTATGTACAAGATAAAGTAGCAGAACTTACAAAATACAACTTATTAAGCTAAACTGAAATATCTAAACTCATATTGGAGTGATTAGAAGTCTTAATGCCAGCTGCTAACCTATCACCACCCACCACAACAGGGGGTGGGACAAATAATAAAGCCACCTTGTTGGTATATTTGATAAGAGCACTGCTAGCAATAACTGTGATTGAGAATGAGACATGACATGAGAGCTTGAAGTGCACATGGCCAGCACCAACTACTGGAAACAGGGAAAAGATAAATACAATAAGGGATTTATGTCAATTAGGATTTATGTATATTAAATATTTATTATTATTATTATTTTGATTATCTTTTTATTTTAGAGATATTTTAGTAATTTAATATTTTAGGGTTTTATTTTTGCTAGTAGAGTTTGATTAGGGTTCTACTTTGATGCCTATATATGTTTGGCTTGTGACATCATATACACACTTTTTGATGATTATTGATTGATTACAGAGATTATAATTCAGAAATTTCTCCCCCTAGATTTCTTCTTCTCTTCTCTCATTCTCTCTCCCATCCTACATCAAATTGCCATTAGTAAAACCTAAATACTAAGTTATAAGAATTAAGGTTAATCAAATGTAGACTCAATAACCTCTTATAAGTCAGATAAAGCTGCCAATTTTACTTATCAGAAAGAAAGATAAAGCTGCCGATTTATTTTGCCAGCTGCAGCACACAATCGTTCCTGTTTCCTGCTTAATTTTGAGGGAAGTAGGGTGCCAAGACAGAGGAGAACTTTGAAACAACTGCAACGAAACAGGATGAGGTAGACTAACAAGAGGAGTAAACGAGAGATATCAAAGGAGGCAAGAGAATGAAAAATAAAACAAAAAACAAGACAAAGAAATTGAGCCTAAATAACCTAACTAAATGGTCGGATTCAAGTAGAGTGATAAGATAGGCTAAAGTTGAAAGGTAATTGGTTCCAGCAAGCATATATGTTTTGGTACCAAAGTGAGCAATGTAGGGAAACAATACAACAGAAAAAAACAGCAGAAGTGGAGCAGGCAGGTGACAGAATGACAAAGTAGCCAAAACATAATCCATATTTGACAGCATTGGTATCCATAGTTGCTTATCTGGAACCTAGGACAAAAGAAGTCCTAAGATCCTGGTTTCAAACATAAATTTTTTGCTAATAACAAGATTAATAATAAAGAGATCAACTTGCTGACAAACCAAGACGAGGTGAAGCAGCAAACACAAGTGACAAAATAGAAAGGTGTACGCCCTTGCACCTACCACCAACTTACTAAGCAAAACTGGATCCAAAGTTATCCTACCATTGGGAGTTCGAAGCAAAAGAAATGAAATATAGCTAAAACAAAGACTTGGTATAATATGCCTAGGAATATAAACCTGGGTTTGTACCTGGGCAAGTCCTGGCCTCTCATGCCACCGACATTTTGGGCATATTGTGTGAACAAAAGTTCAAAAAATAAAGCAATTGCTATGGGTCATAGCCAAGAAAAATAGGGGTTACGTCTAATTGTGTACCAGTCATTTCCAAGTCAATCCATGCCAGTGGAAATTTATACACTTCTGAAACCATTTCTAGACTTTGTTGACTCCCATTATCATTCTTTGATAGGGTCATCTCTCCTGGGATGCCACCTTTTCTCTTAGCCTTGCCTGCACCATGAAAAATATATATTCAATGGCATCCTAATACAGACAGCACAAATAATCACCCATTAACACAATGCATCAGTAGAAGGTGAGGACTGAGGAGACAGGATCATCTTGTGAAAATTAAAAATCTCCAGACACAAATCTGCAGTTTAATATATTTATTAAGCCCAATACCTTGGACCTATTTATCCATTGTGCGTCTCAAAAGTAGGTAATTCTGATAGATAATAATAGTGTATGGCAAGCCACCATTAAAAGATTTTGAAACTCAGTTTTGGTACAACGAGGATACAAATTTACAATTTGAAACAAAAAAGAAAAGAAAAGGGATGAATACAAAAAATTTAGGCACTCTTAATTCAAATCCTGAGAGCAGCCACTTTGTGCAAATAATATCAAAGGTTAGGCGTGTATTCAGCCCACCCTAGAACTCTCTATTAACAGGGACCGCACTAGATAATGATCCTTTTGATTAAAATATAAATGAACCTCTTTCTTTGGCACTTTCTCGATGATCAACAGCAGAAAGACTGCCCGTCTGTTCTTCATCATCTGCTACATCCAGTTCGAGCAAAGAAAAGGCATTTGAGAACTGATTCATGGCTACAAAACAAAGTTTGTATTTTGACCATTCAGCTCCTTTCAAAGTGAACGGTAGAAAAATATCGTCAAATTATTGCAGTTTAAGGAATAGGAAAGTATACAAGCACAAAATGATAAAATCAACCCTTCAAATTTGCAATCAAATATAAAGCCCTACCCCAACCGTATGGCAGAGCTTATATGGTTAAAATCCGGATAATATTAGATGGATTGGACGTCTTTCAGGATATTTCAAAAAATATGGTCAAATGTCCGGAAAATGAAAGCTTCAACTTGGCAATCAACTATAAAGCAGGTCTATGAAGCACATCATCTTATTATCTCTGTGATATCCCCAATTTCCAAGCACGGGTTGATCAGGTCCTCGCCCGAAAACCGGGGATATCATAACAATTGATAATAGACAAACACAGAATACAAGAGGAAATACTAAAGTAAATAAATAATCACTGAAGGGAAACTAAATAACAATTAATTATAAAATCCTGTGAAACTATTAACTCTCCAAATAAATCCATAATTAATAATCCTCCAATATACAACTCGGGAATCCGTATCATGGACCCCTAAATGAAACCCATAAACTGAAATAAATAATATCTAAGTCTAAACATGAAATAAAACTAAGATAATGCCCTACGTCGATAATCCGGAAGAGTGAAGATGAATATCTCTAATCAGCAAGAACAATCTATAGGACTGAAACTGACGTGGACTTGAAAAATGAAGTGTGAGTTAGACCCACAAGCAAGCACTCTCTATTACAACCCGATCAGAGAACCGATAATCAATACATCTTAGCTAAACTCATGCAATAGCTATATAGTCAATACAAACATATACACACTACGACGCTCACTAAAATATAGGGCAGTCTCAACCGGATAGTAGGTATCTCAAGAGAAATCGTACACAAGGTGGTCAAGAGTCCTCCTATACTAGGGCACACACATCTCCTATATTCAGCTACTCATCTCCGGCAATATACGCCTCAGTCCTAACCACTGATCCTGAGGCCATGAATCAACTCGTATCAGGTCATACACACACACACACACACACACACACATATATATATATAATGATAACAACATCAATAATCAAAGCCATATCTAACAATGATATAACATAGTGAGTCTAAACTTATTAGGCAGCTCAGCCCATCATCTCATAGCCATATCTAACAATGACACATATTAGTGACTATAAACTTATTAGCCATCTCACTGAATCTCATTCAAACATAGAAATAATACATCCATCTCATCAACATTACAACAAGTAGTACAACCATAGATCATGTTTTTAGATAATAAGAACAACAATTTATATGATTAAAATCATAAATGAGAATATTGTAACATGTATCACAATTTAAGCCATATTAAGGAATAAATACAACTTATAAATTGGTTAAAGCCTCAATTATTAAATTCCCAAAGCATATTGAATTTCTTTAAGCTTTTAAATCCATACCCAAGTTCATTGGACTCATTAAACCCCTTAAAAGCCCCTAAATCAAAACACAACAACCAAACACAGCCCTGCAGCAGCAGAGCGTTTCGGTCGAAGCCTGGCTCCATTCGGTCGACCGGGTTAGGCAAACAGGTCGACGCCTCTAACCTATCAGTCGACCGAAACAGGTAAACCGGTCGACCGAAACCTACTTCTTCCTCCTTCGCGACAGCAAGTTCCAGGACTGTAAATTCATTGTTCCAGGTCTTAAGCATGCATAATATGTTCCAAACAATTCCCACAGTTTATATAACATATAGTTACATGCTTTAGCAATAAAAATAGAGAATACAACATCAAATCAAAGATTTAATCAAGTTAATACATATATATACAAACATGCATATAAGTTCAGTTTATACACACATCACAACATTATAACCAGTTTTCATTATCTGATTTAATCCTTAAAGTCTAACATGCAATGTAAGGTTTATAAGTTCTAAGGGGAAGAGATAGAAAAGAGAATTGTCTAATGATTTTCGGATTGAAAATCTCTGAAAATCAACTACGCAACTCTCTGTGATATCTCCGGTCGTCTTCCTCAACTCCGGCAACCTTCCTTGGCCGGTTTCCTCCTACTTCTTCCTTCCTTCTCTCTCTCTCGTGTATCTCTTTTTGCCTTTCTGGGTTTCACGTAAAACCCTCTCCCAGACTACTACATATGTATATATACTAATACATAAAACCTAATCCTAGTCTGAGAAGTAAATAATAATAATAATAATTGTAATACTAATATACATATAGCATAAATATCCATACGTATATATATTTACATGATCTACACAATTAATCAATTCTAATTATTAATATATATATATATATATATATATATATATATATACACACACCTCCTCATGGGCCTAAAGCCTTCATTAACATACCTAGACCTTCTTAACTAGTCCAAACCAACTCCTCTGGTCCAACTAACCTAAAGCCCCATCCACGCTTAATAAAATAAAACAAATAATTAAATAAACATAACAATTAAACAATTAAAATAAATCATTTAGATTAAACAAACAATCAAGCCATTTTAATTAGACAATTAAATAACCTACAGAAACAAATAATTCAAATAATGCATTAATTCAAATAATGTAATTAATTCAAACAATGCAATTAAATTAACTAAAATAAAACTTGTAAAATACAAGGGAATTACATTCTTCCCCCCCTAACAAAGGACGGAATCGAAATTCACCCCATACCTTACTTGAACAACTCTGGAAACTTTGAATGAATTTCATCTTCCCGTTCCCAAGATGACCTGGCCTCATTATGATGGCTCCACTGAACACGCACAAGAGGAAAAATCTTGGTGCGAAACACCTGATTCCTACTTTTAAGAATACAACATGGTGGCTCTACATATGCTGCATCCGGCTGCAACTCAATCTCGCCTACATCTATATGCTGATAGCGAATATCTTTTCGCAGAAATTTCCGCAACATAGAAACATGGAACACATTATAGACACGATGTAAATGGTCCAGAAGTGCCAACCGATAAGCTACAGTTCCCACACGATCTGTAATCATGAATGAACTTACAAAACGTGTTGACAACTTCCCTTTTTTCCCAAAACGCATTACTCCCTTCATGGGAGACACCTTAAGCAAAACCTGATCCCCTACTTTGAATTCAGGACCTAAAAATCTGTTCTCACCAACCTCCAGCCAACACACAGGAGATCTACACGGTCTATCATACAATGAATCAAAAGGTGCCATACTAATAGTCTTCTGATAACTATTGTTATAAACAAACTCTGTAAGTGGCAAATAATCCTCCCAATTGCCCTTAAAATCAAGGACACAAGCTCGAAACATATCCATTATCCTTCATAATCTGATTGACTCTCTCAGTCTGAGGATGATAAGTAGTGCTAAGATGCAACTCCGTACCCAAAGCTTGCTAAAAACTCTCCCAAAATCCCGATACAAAATTCGAATCTCTATCCGATATGATGGATAACGGTATGCCATAAAACTTCACAATCTCTACAATATAAAGCCTCGCCAACTGTTCTAAAGTGAAATTAGTGTGAATAGGCAAGAAATCAGCGGACTTGGTCAATCAATCAACAATGACCCAAAATGGAATTATGACCCTTATATGAAGTAAGCAATCCCCTCAACAAAATCCATAGAAATGCTCTCCCATTTCCATTCCAGTATAGGTAGTGGCTGCAAAGCCTTGGCGGTCTCGGATGATCAATCATAACCATCTGACAAGTACTACACTTAGAGACAAAGATAGCTATGCAACTCTTCATGCCTGCTCATCAAAACTGCTGTTTCAGGTCTTGATACATCTTATCTCCACCTGAATGAATAGAAAAATGAGAATTGTGAACCTTCGTCATCATATCTTTCCTCAAATCATCTACATAAGGTACTACTAAACGTGCCTTATACCTCAAACCTCCATCTGTGCCAACTGAGTAAAATGGAACATCACCAGAAGCTAACTCTACAATTCTATCGATGTACGGCTGATCTGCAAGCTGTGCCTTAAGTACTTTGTGGATGATAACAAGTGTCACTACGACATAAGTCATAAAAGTATCAGATAACTCATCAACTGATTGCAAAGCATCCCATTCTGTAGCAAATAAAGCGGAAAGAGTCGAAAGACTAGCATAGGGTCGGTGACTGAGTGCATCTGCAACTACATTCGCTTTCCTTGGATGATACTGTATAGAGAAGTGATAGTTGTATAGAAAAGTGATAGTCTTTCACAAACTCTAACCACCTGCGCTGTCTCATATTCAGTTCCCTCTGTGTGAAAAGATACTGCAAACTCTTGTGCTTACTAAACAGTGTGAAGGACTCTCCCAGAAGATAATGCCTGCAAATGCGTAAGGCAAAGACCACAGCTGCTAATTCCAAATTGTGCGATAATTAAGCTCATAAGGCTTAGCTTACGAGACCCATAAGAAACTGTTAGCTCCTTTTGCATCAAAACACATCTCAAATCCTGCAAAAAAGCATCTGTGCAAACAAGATACTCTACCCCGCTCTGAGGTGTAGCTAGAACAGGTGCAGAAGTTAACTTGTTTTTCAACTCATCGAAAGATGTCTGATAATATTCATCCCGAGCTTACGAGACCCATAAGAAACCGGTCACTCCTTTTGCATCAAAACACATCTCAAACCCTGCAAAAAAGCATCTGTGCAAATAAGATACTCTATCCCGCTCTGAGGCATACCTACAACATGTGCAGAAGTCAACTTGCTTTTCAACTCATCGAAAGCAGCCTGACAATGTTCATCCACACAAACGATACACCTTCTTTAGTCAAATGGGTGAGAGGTCCCGCTATCTTCGAAAACCCCTGGATGAATCTACGAAATAACCCTGCCAATCCCAGAAAACTGTGAATCTCTAAAGGTAAGGTAGGCAGTCCCCACTCTAGAACTGTTGAGACCTTGGCTGAATCTACCGTTATCCCCTTCTCTGACACCACATGACTAAG